CATCAACAGCCCATTGTTCTAGCCATGTCTGGTCAGAAAAAAATTTTTGACATTTTTCCGAAAATTGAAAATTTTATAAGGGGTTACATCATTAAAATTGCCAAAATTTGACAAAAAATTGAATTTTTTAAATTTGAAAACTGAGTATGCAGCATTGTTAATCTACTAAAAACAGCATAGAACAGCTTTCCGAATTAAAATTAATGATTTATTGGCTTAGTTATGAGTTTTTTAACTATGATTTTTGGAAAAATTGCCTGTTTTTATACCTTTTTGCAGGGTCTTATAATTTTAGAAAAAAACTGACAACAGCATCAACAAACGCAGTATGCAGATTTGTTAGTGCAATAAAGACGAGCACAGAAAACTTCCGAATTAAAATTAATGCAAATTTGGCTAAATATGATGTCCGAAAAACTTGAATTTTTCATAAAAATTCTCTGTTTTTATACCTTTTTGAAGAATATAATTTAAGTCAGAAGCTCTCAACGCAGTGAAGGAGTCATTTCCGACCCTATAAACCATATATATTCTTGATCAGCATCAACAGCCCAGTCGTTCTAGCCATGTCCGGTCAAGAAATAAATTTTTGTCATTTTTCCGAAAATTGAAAATTTTATAAGGGGTTACATCATTAAAATTGCCAAAATTTGACAAAAAATTGAATTTTTAAATTTGAAAACTGAGTATGCAGCATTGTTAATCTACTAAAAACTAGCATAGAACAGCTTTCCGAATTAAAATTAATGATTTTTTGCTGTGCTATGAGCTTCTAAAACTATGATTTTTTGACAAAATTGTCTGTTTTTATACCTTTTTGCAGGGTCTTATAATTTTAGAAAAAAACTGACAACAGCATCAACAAACGCAGTATGCAGATTTGTTAGTGCAATAAAGACGAGCACAGAAAAGCTTTCCGAATTAAAATTAATGCAAATTTGGCTAAATGATGATGTCCGAAAAACTTGAATTTTTCATAAAAATTCTCTGTTTTTATACCTTTTTGAAGAATATAATTTAAGTCAGAAGCTCTCAACGCAGTGAAGGAGTCGTTTCCGACCCTATAAACCATATATATTATTGATCAGCATCAACAGCCCATTAGTTCTAGCCATGTCTGGTCAGAAAAAAATTTTTGACATTTTTCCGAAAATTGAAAATTTTATAAGGGGTTACATCATTAAAATTGCCAAAATTTGACAAAAAATTGAATTTTTTAAATTTGAAAACTGAGTATGCAGCATTGTTAATCTACTAAAAACAGCATAGAACAGCTTTCCGAATTAAAATTAATGATTTATTGGCTTAGTTATGACTTTTTTAAACTATGATTTTTGGAAAAATTGCCTGTTTTTATACCTTTTTGCAGGGTCTTATAATTTTAGAAAAAAACTGACAACAGCATCAACAAACGCAGTATGCAGATTTGTTAGTGCAATAAAGACGAGCACAGAAAAGCTTTCCGAATTAAAATTAATGCAAATTTGGCTAAATGATGATGTCCGAAAAACTTGAATTTTTCATAAAAATTCTCTGTTTTTATACCTTTTTGAAGAATATAATTTAAGTCAGAAGCTCTCAACGCAGTGAAGGAGTCGTTTCCGACCCTATAAACCATATACTATATTATTGATCAGCATCAACAGCCCATTAGTTCTAGCCATGTCTGGTCAGAAAACAAATTTTTGACATTTTTCCGAAAATTGAAAATTTTATAAGGGGTTACATCATTAAAATTGCCAAAATTTGACAAAAAATTGAATTTTTTAAATTTAAAAACTGAGTATGCAGCATTGTTAATCTACTAAAAACAAGCATAGAACAGCTTTCCGAATTAAAATTAATGATTTATTGGCTTAGTTATGACTTTTTTTAAACTATGATTTTTGGGAAAAATTGCCTGTTTTTATACCTTTTTGCAGGGTCTTATAATTTTAGAAAAAAACTGACAACAGCATCAACAAACGCAGTATGCAGATTTGTTAGTGCAATAAAGACGAGCACAGAAAAGCTTTCCGAATTAAAATTAATGCAAATTTGGCTAAATTATGATGTCCGAAAAACTTGAATTTTTCATAAAAATTCTCTGTTTTTATACCTTTTTGAAGAATATAATTTAAGTCAGAAGCTCTCAACGCAGTGAAGGAGTCATTTCCGACCCTATAAACCATATATATTCTTGATCAGCATCAACAGCCCAGTCGTTCTAGCCATGTCCGGTCAAGAAATAAATTTTTGTCATTTTTCCGAAAATTGAAAATTTTATAAGGGGTTACATCATTAAAATTGCCAAAATTTGACAAAAAATTGAATTTTTTAAATTTGAAAACTGAGTATGCAGCATTGTTAATCTACTAAAAACTAGCATAGAACAGCTTTCCGAATTAAATTAATGATTTTTTTGCTGTGCTATGAGCTTCTAAAACTATGATTTTTTGACAAAATTGTCTGTTTTATACCTTTTTGCAGGGTCTTATAATTTTAGAAAAAAACTGACAACAGCATCAACAAACGCAGTATGCAGATTTGTTAGTGCAATAAAGACGAGCACAGAAAAGCTTTCCGAATTAAAATTAATGCAAATTTGGCTAAATGATGATGTCCGAAAAACTTGAATTTTTCATAAAAATTCTCTGTTTTTATACCTTTTTGAAGAATATAATTTAAGTCAGAAGCTCTTAACGCAGTGAAGGAGTCATTTCCGACCCTATAAACCATATATATTCTTGATCAGCATCAACAGCCCAGTCGTTCTAGCCATGTCCGGTCAAGAAATAAATTTTTGTCATTTTTCCGAAAATTGAAAATTTTATAAGGGGTTAATCATTAAAATTGCCAAAATTTGACAAAAAATTAAATTTTTTAAATTTGAAAACTGAGTATGCAGCATTGTTAATCTACTAAAAACTAGCATAGAACAGCTTTCCGAATTAAAATTAATGATTTATTGGCTTAGTTATGAGTTTTTTTAAACTATGATTTTTGGGAAAAATTGCCTGTTTTTATACCTTTTTGCAGGGTCTTATAATTTTAGAAAAAAACTGACAACAGCATCAACAAACGCAGTATGCAGATTTGTTATTGCAATAAAGACGAGCACAGAAAAGCTTTCCGAATTAAAATTAATGCAAATTTGGCTAAATTATGATGTCCGAAAAACTTGAATTTTTCATAAAAATTCTCTGTTTTTATACCTTTTTGAAGAATATAATTTAAGTCAGAAGCTCTCAACGCAGTGAAGGAGTCATTTCCGACCCTATAAACCATATATATTCTTGATCAGCATCAACAGCCCAGTCGTTCTAGCCATGTCCGGTCAGAAAAAAATTTTTGACATTTTTCCGAAAATTGAAAATTTTATAAGGGGTTACATCATTAAAATTGCCAAAATTTGACAAAAAATTGAATTTTTTAAATTTGAAAACTGAGTATGCAGCATTGTTAATCTACTAAAAACTAGCATAGAACAGCTTTCCGAATTAAAATTAATGATTTATTGGCTTAGTTATGAGTTTTTTAAACTATGATTTTTGGGAAAAATTGCCTGTTTTTATACCTTTTTGCAGGGTCTTATAATTTTAGAAAAAAACTGACAACAGCATCAACAAACGCAGTATGCAGATTTGTTATTGCAATAAAGACGAGCACAGAAAAGCTTTCCGAATTAAAATTAATGCAAATTTGGCTAAATTATGATGTCCGAAAAACTTGAATTTTTCATAAAAATTCTCTTTTTTATACCTTTTTGAAGAATATAATTTAAGTCAGAAGCTCTCAACGCAGTGAAGGAGTCATTTCCGACCCTATAAACCATATATATTCTTGATCAGCATCAACAGCCCAGTCGTTCTAGCCATGTCCGGTCAGAAAATAAATTTTTGACATTTTTCCGAAAATTGAAAATTTTATAAGGGGTTACATCATTAAAATTGCCAAAATTTGACAAAAAATTGAATTTTTAAATTTGAAAACTGAGTATGCAGCATTGTTAATCTACTAAAAACTAGCATAGAACAGCTTTCCGAATTAAAATTAATGATTTATTGGCTTAGTTATGAGTTTTTTAAACTATGATTTTTGGGAAAAATTGCCTGTTTTTATACCTTTTTGCAGGGTCTTATAATTTTAGAAAAAAACTGACAACAGCATCAACAAACGCAGTATGCAGATTTGTTAGTGCAATAAAGACGAGCACAGAAAAGCTTTCCGAATTAAAATTAATGCAAATTTGGCTAAATGATGATGTCCGAAAAACTTGAATTTTTCATAAAAATTCTCTGTTTTTATACCTTTTTGAAGAATATAATTTAAGTCAGAAGCTCTTAACGCAGTGAAGGAGTCATTTCCGACCCTATAAACCATATATATACAGATATTCTTGATCAGCATCAACAGCCCAGTAGTTTAGTCATGTCTGGTCAAAAAACAAATTTTTGACATTTTTCCGAAAATTGAAAATTTTATAATGGGTTACATCATTAAAATTGCCAAAATTTGACAAATAATTGATTATTGACTTCGATTGCCATATAAAAATAATTGCATAAATTAATCCCTTGCTGTATTATAGTTTTAGTCAGAAGCTTGCAAAACAGTGAAGGAGTCATTTCCGACCCAACATATCATATATATTCTTGATCTGCATGAACAGACGAATCTTTCTGGCCATCTTCGGCAGAAAATAATTTTTTTAAAAATTTTACCATTTTTGCAAAAAAGGAAAGGGGTTACATCATTAAAATTGTCAAAAAAGTCAATTTTTTTTAGCTGTTAAACTGAGTATGCAGAATTGTTAACCTCGTAAAAACTAACATGGGAAAGCTTTCCGAAATGAAATTAATGGCTTTTAATGTTATGAGATTTTAAAAATTGATTTCTAGATTTAATTTGCACAGACCTTATAAATCATATATGTATGTACATATGTTCTCTGTTTACTTTTAAAAATAATAAACAAAATCTGATCGTGTGCATTCTCCCTTCCATTGCAGCCATCATCATGCAGGCAGCCATCATAGCGTCGTGTACTGACGTCGCAAGCTGCTTTCCAACATTGGAAGACGCCGAGTGACATTCGCTGGAATAACGGCGCGGGCTTTCTTAATGCAAATGCCGATCGCTTCAAAAAAATCAACGAATTTAAAACAGAAAAACCCGCAAAATGCACGTTTCGGCCATAAAGGGCAGGCAGCCGGGAGAGCAGCAGCAGAACAATGGTGATAATAGCATCATCAGCAGCAGCAGCATGGAAATACCAAGTAATAGCAGCAGCGACGCAGTAACGATCGATGCCAATGGCAGGTTTTAATGTCATGGCGACGCCGCCGGCGACGATGCAAAAACAACGATAACGATTGCAATTACAAATCTACAACCAATGATTTCAATAAAATCAATAAACTGCTGCTAATTACGTACATGCTGCTGATAACAGCGGCCACAATTTGTCAAAGCGCCGCCCAGTCGCCGTCATCGTCATCATCATCGAACAGCGGAGGCGCAGGCAGCAGTGGGGGATCCACCGCTGGAGGATCTCCGCTGAGCGCCTTTCTCAAGTCCGGCGGTGCCTCCTACAATCAACAGTTGCCGCAACAGCAGCTCTTCGCCATGCTGACCCGGAATGGAGTTGGAGGAGCTGGATCTGGTTCAGGCGGTGGCGGTGGCACTGGCCATCGGGGCTTTCCCAATGCCAGGCAGCATTTCCTTGCCCTCAGTGAAGATGACTCGGATGCAGATGTAGATGAGGAGGATATGGCTGCTCTGCACTATCCTCTGGTACCCGCCACGCATTCACTTTCGGGGCCTTCATCCTCCTCCTCGTCGGGATCGCTAGACTCCAATGGCTTTGTGGCCGACGATGGTGGGCAATACGAGCAGGCGGAGAAGGCTCTGGCCGCAGCTGCAGCAGCGGCGAAAGCGAGCAACAAGAATAACATAGACTGTCCCAAGGACTGCAAGTGCCTGGTTGTACTCTTCCATTGTGATAAACTGCATCTGGAGCGAGTGCCGGTCTTGCCTGGCTATGTCCAAACTCTGTAAGTAACTCTTAATATAGAGGGATTTAGGGATAGAGAGATCCCGAGCAAAATTTTCTTTCATTTCTTGAATGTTTTCCCTTGCCTCCCTTCTGGTATACTACCATTAAATCATTCATTCCTTAAACCGAATTATTCATTCAGATTCATATCTAGCTTAAGGGTCTGAACGGTGGCGTTTGACAAGTTCGACGTTATTTCAATCCATAAATTCATTGTCAGAGGGATGAAATGGCAAAGCAACAACCCCACTCAGATAAGCTGCGAATATAGAATAAATTGCAGTGCGGCGCACAACCCTCGATTTCGACATTTGCCCTCAATTTTGGCCTCTTTTTGTTTTGTTTAGTTTTTGGAGGGTTGCGATTCTATCATGGAGCCTTTTAATCAATTTAATGCATGGCAAAATTATGCAAACGCCGTTTGTTGTTGTGCTATCAGTAGCTCGGCATCGATAATTGTGGCATAATTATGATGCATTTGTCAAGCCAGGGATTTTCCGAATGCAATTAATTGAATTTTATCTATTTCACAGGCATCTGGCGAACAACAAACTAAATGACACAACCGTCCTGGAGATACGCAATCTATCCAACTTGACTAAGCTGTAAGTGGATCATAATATTCTCTTTAAAAGTAAAAGTTTTTATTGAAACTCCATTTAATTCTTAGCACCCTTAAGCGGAACCTACTCGAGGCGATACCCAAGTTCACTGGCCTCGTTGGCTTGAAACACTTGGTTTTGGCCAACAATCACATCAGCATTATTTCCAGTGAGGCTCTGGCAGTGCTTCCAGCGCTAAGGACCCTGGATCTGTCTAGGAATCAGATACATAGCGTTGAGGCTAACTCCTTTCCAAAGCCCAACAGTTTGGTTCACTTGTAAGTTGTGTTGTTTCGTCCTTTTATTTGGGTGTATTCTATTGTAAATTTCTCTTTCTAGGATATTGAGCTTCAATGAGATAGCCAATGTGCATGAGAACTCGTTTGAGGACTTGAAAAATCTCACGGATCTGGAGTTGACCAACAATCGTCTCAGTAGCCTGCCCATGGGAGTTTTTAGGACCTTGAACCGGCTTAAGAAGCTGTGAGTTTTCATTATAATGTTAATATTATATAAACCCTTCTAATACCTACTATTCCTTTATAGGGCTTTAAACTACAACCACTTGGAGATCAATTGGTCAACGTTCCGTGGCCTGTTAGCGCTTAAGAACCTTCAGTTGAAGTCCAACAAAATTCGAGGACTGCAGGACGGTGTCTTTCATGTGATGCATAGCATCGAGGTTATTGATTTGGCCATGAACCAGATCGGTTCCCTGTCCCGCCAGGGTCTTTTCAATCTGACCAAACTGCGTCACCTGAACCTGTCAATGAACGCCATATCCCGCATCGAGCTGGACACCTGGGAGTTCACTCAATCGCTGGAGGTTCTAGATCTCTCGCACAACGCCATCAGCGAGTTCAAGCCGCAGCATTTGGATTGCTTGCATCGCCTGAAAACACTCAATTTGGCCCACAATCGACTGCAGTATCTGCAGGAGAATAGCTTTGATTGCGTCAAGGATCTAGAGGAGCTGAACTTAAGGCGCAATCGTCTCTCCTGGATTATCGAGGATCAGAGTGCGGCGGCGCCGTTTAAGGCGTTGCGCAAGCTGCGACGTCTCGACTTGCACGGCAACAATCTGAAGCAGATTAGCGGCAAGTCGATGAGCGGCCTTAACAACCTGGAGACGCTCAACCTTGGCTCCAATGCACTGGCCAGCATCCAGCCCAATGCCTTTGAGCATATGCAGCGGCTAAACAAGCTAGTTTTCAAGTCCCTGAACTTTATTTGCGATTGCGACCTTATCTGGTTTCAGCAGTGGCTGAAGACTCGCTTCCCCAGCAGGCCGAGCATGTGGTATGTGGCTATCCGGAGCATCTGCTGGACCGTCACCTGAAGACACTGAGTGGATCGGAGTTGGTGTGCGGTAAGCTTAGCTAAACTACTATTTCTGCAGTTGTAATAATATTTATTTCAATTATCAGTGGACTCCCCCAAACCGAGGCTGGAACAGGAACCGGACAACATGCTAGCCGTAAACGGAGCCAACATCACTCTGGAGTGCATTGCCAGTTCGCCGACCGCTGCCTCCCTGGCCGCTGCCGATGAGCTAAAGATCAAGTGGCGTCACGACAACCAGCATGTCCAGGAGCGACCGGCGGCACAGCACGACGGCGCTAGCACAGAGACCCAGATTCACCACGATCCAAGCACGAACCAGACCTCCATCTATGGCTACCTGAGGCTGACCAATGTGACCTACGAAAGCGCTGGACGCTACCAGTGCGTGGTATCGAATGCCTTTGGGACCACCTATGCCCAAAAGTTCAAGATATCCATAGGAAGTAAGTCTAGTCTTTTCTTTACTTTGATTCCATTCTCACGGCTTTCTCTATCTTTCAGTTCATCCGACCTTCCTGCAAGTGCCCTCCAATCTCACGCTGGACGCTGGAGAAACGGCTCGACTGGTGTGCTCGGCCAGTGGCGATCCCACGCCAGAGATAGCTCTGCAGAAGTTTGGCGGCAGCGAATTCCCGGCAGCCACCGAGCGACGTTTGCAAGTGATGCGCGAGGAGAACGCCTTTCTGATTACCAATGCCAAGCCCAGCGATTCTGGTATTTACACATGCACAGCGTTGAGCGCTGCCGGAGAGATAAAGGTTAACGCCACCCTGGTGGTGAATGGTAAGTTATCCCAAATTCTGAAACAGTAAAGACCTTTTTACTAATGCCCTGCACTTTCCCATTTTAACAGACAAACCGCAGCCCAGCATTCCGTTGGTGCATCAGGAGGTGGTTGTCGGCCGCAGCAGTGTGCTCAAGTGCATAAGCGATACGGTGAATGCCGATCTCGAGCAGGAGCATCTGCATCGCGAGTGGTTCAAGGAGAACAAACCGATACACAACTCACCGACGACGCCCGATGGGGATCGCTATTATTTTTCGGGTAACAAGGAACTGCTCGTGATTCTAGATGCCCAGTCCAACGATGCGGGTCACTATCGATGCGAGATAACGGACAACACGCGGACTTTTACACTTCAGCTGGAGCTGGTAGTGGTCAAGGAGAATCTAAACTGGGATGTCCTGCTGATTGGCATCATTGTGTTGACCGTAATCTGCATCATAGTCGATTGCTGCATCATTTGGTGCACGCTGCGCTACCAGAAGCGAAAGCTTCGCATGAGCCTGGCTGCCGAACGGCTGGCAGCTCGCACACAGGCTAGTCTGCACTCGACGCTGGACAAGGATGAGACGCAGCTGACCACTTTGAATCGCACTCAACTGAGGCCACACCAGTCGCAGCTGGTGCTGGACGGCATTCCTCCACAACTGCAGAAAGGACAGTTGCGACCACGTAGTCTCGCAGATCTCGACAATAGCCAGGCAGCCCACAGTCGCCTCATTGTGACCACGACGCCCTCGTACGAGCAACGCTGCCTGGAGCAGGGTCTGACGCTAAGCTACCTGCAGCAGGCGGACCTTGAGGCCCAGCAGGATCATCTATCCAGCAAGGACTCGGGCACTGGCTCAGATGCGGCAGTGAAGCGCAGCTTGGAAGACTTTGTGGTGGCCATGCCCAACCATAAGACTCACACGGACGACGAGGAGGAAAATGATGACAACGATCTGCAATACGCTCCCACAAGGGCTCTCGGCATCTCCGAGTACGATGACATGGAGTTGTACGAGCTAAACCATGCGGCAGCCGAGCAGCAGCATTTCTTGCAGAATAACAATCACAACTATGACGGCGGCGGGATCGGGGTTGGGGTTGGAATAGCCGGGTTTGATGCGATGGGAGCAGCGACGCCCAAGGTGCTGCCCCGCAAGTGCGGCGTCGGAGCGACCGGCGGGGGCAGTAACTACAACGCTATCCAACAACAATCGTCTACAACGGTGGACATCTAAGCAGCTAAGAAGCTAAAACCAAATGCGCAGGATGAGCATGAGGAGATGGATCTTATACCAAAAAAAAAACTGGCGGCTGACCCACCCGCAGCCCCGCCCGCAACCCGCCACCCAAAACGAACAAAGACTGTTTAACTCGTAATTATAATTTGTAGACAGAGCAGGCGGCCTTATTGATGCCTTTTTGCTAAGAGACAAAAGAGAAGTAGGACAGCTAGAGAAAAACATACCAGTGTCTTCGTAATTTATGAAATTAACTTTCTAGAACGCCTAATATCTGATAATCCTGTAGCGTGTATTTATACTTTTCGTTTCGCTTGTGATATTATTTATTATTTCCGATTACACCCGAGTTTAAGGCGTAACCCATATTCACCTCTGTAAATATATAAACCACTTAGGCCTTAATTATAGTTTGTATCTAGTTTAATAAGTCAAGGAGCACTCTGGAGAACATAAGAATTTGACATCTCTAATGGAGTGTAGTAGTTAATGGATATTTTGCAGTTCTTTATCATTTCTTTGCTTGCAATTAACTCTTCGGTTAAATATGAAATTACTTTTGCTTTGCGATTGGCCTTGACAAAATCTATAAATTGAAACAAAGGTTAAAAATATTTAATAAAATGCATTATTCCAATAAATAAACAAAATATCTATGGTTTTTCCTATTTGATGAGCAAGAGCATGAAACTGCGCCACGAAATGCGACTACAGTATAGCAGAATCGGATAAACATTAAAGTAATGCGTAGTTCAAGTTTTGACTACTGTTAGTTTAATTTTATTATCTGTAAATTGCTTTAGGTAAATGCTTGGTCAGTTGGAATCCTCGGAGCTATCACTGTAGGCAGCCAAAAGGGACAAACCAGCTGGAGCTGATGGTGGAGGATTTGTGATTTTACTTTCAGCTTGTCCAGCTGTTTGTGGTGGGTTGGATTGCCTAGTTGTCACTACTGCCGCCTTTGGTTTGACCAGAACTAAGGGGGTCTTTCTTTTAACCAGCGGCCGCTGCGTGGCAGAAGCTTTGCTAGATGAAGCGGACACGGATAAACTCAGTGTGCTGGACTTGGCCTGTTTAGCCAGCGGTGGGGCAGGCATTCGGTCTACCTCCGGCTTCTCCTCCTTGACCTCTTCAATAATTTCCTCGGCCACAACACGAGAGCCGCCCTCCGATTTGTTCTTAAAGTTGACAGACCTTAGGGAAAGATTGTAAGTTTTTAATAGAAAATATGGACAAAAGGCCACACTCACTTGATGAACTCCTCGTCCTCGCGCTCCTCCCGCTCCTGACGCTCCCTCTCCGTCTCGCCCGTGTTGTACTGCTGCAGCATGGTCGTATAGTCCACCGTCTGCTGGCGCCGGTTCAAGTCTCGCAGCTCCTCCAAGCTCTCGAGCATTTCGATCTCGTTGCGCGACTGCTGTGTGCGGTTCTCTAGAAGCTTCATCGGGTTGTTGGCCTCCTCATCGCGCAGCTCTTGCTCCTCCCGCCGCGCCTGCTCTTCGGCCAACTTTAGGGCCATAAAGTTCCTGGTGGCGCCCGCCTCAATCTCGTAGTCAGTGTTCTGCGGATCCGTCTTGAACGAGATCTCCTGCAGGCAGCGTGTGCACTTGATATAGAACCTGTAGATGCGGATTCCAAGGTACGTCTCGTTCTCCACGTCCTCCTTTCGGGCATTAAACTTCTTGCCCTTGTAGATATACTCCCCGCAGGTCTTGCAGCGCATGTTAAACGGAGCCATCAGTCGTACGGTGTACTGCCGGTTTTTGGCCAGTTTCATGCGCGGAATCTTCGACGGATCGAAGTCCGGGGGATAGTATTTCTGCAAAGGATCGATCGGGTTTAGTGGCGCAGCTCGAACGTGTCCATATATAAGTAGTTATACTTACGTTTAGCACTTTGCGCTCGGACATTTTGCGATAAAATTGAGTTTATTGCAAAATAAATACAAAATTGTTTAGTATTAGAGATGGCAAACCATATGATTTCCTATCGACGATACCGATTTTTTAGATCTAAGCAAGACTAGTGTTGGTAAATCTGTTTTGAGCTGTACTGGAAAATGTGTAAAAAAGCAACCGCCAAATTCAAATTAGTTTAACAAAAACAAAACATTCAAATTCAAGCTGGAATATATATGCTTCGTTTATAAATAAGGAATAGGTAAAACAAACATGGTATTTTAATACAATTTGCAAAATTTATATCCACTTTAAAAGCTTTAGTTATGCTTTAAAAACATTTCTTTGGCTATAATTGCTGCTACGTTCTGCTCGTACAATACGTATCCAATAAATACACAGCTCCTGGACATCACAGCTTTTCTTTTTTCACATGTTGCTGCTGCTCGTAGAGGGCTCATTGCTGCCCATTGTGGAAGGCGAAGTGCTTTTCCGCAGGCCAGAGAATCGCGCCGGCAACTGCAGAGTAGGCACATCGATATTATCGGCGTTAGGAGCAGAGGACACCTGGTGCTCCGCTTCACCACTTCCCACTTCCACGTCAGGGAAGCTTACCTTCTTAGGCGCCGCAAGCGGTGGAATCGTTTGAGACTTGGGACGCCCCTCCAGCTTCAAGGCTGCTCGAGGAATCTTTTGCTTCACTAGCTCATAGGTGCAGGCGTAGAGGAACGTGTACTGCTGCAGGGTTTGCACCATCTTCATGCGCTGTAAGTGGAAGAGGAGGATGAGTAAGAAGATATGCTCTTGTTCTCAGGAGTTCAGTATTCGTACCTGAAACCGCAGTTTCTTCACCGTCTCGAAGATATTAATTTTCGACTCGCTCTTCAAACGCTGCATGATCAGATCCAGCCCAATGAAGGTGCCCGTCCTGCCCACTCCTGCGCTGCAATGGACGACAATGGGCGAGTAGCTGGGCCGCCTTTCAGCCTTCACCTTTTTAACGAAGGTAATCAGGTGCATGGGATCAGCGGGACAGCCGTGGTCGGGCCACTTCTTGAAGTAGAAGTGGATCACCTTCTCCTTCAGGCCGTACTTGTCGTGGATAACCGAGAGCTCGGTGCGATCGTACAGCTCGAAGACTTCCTTAGACTTGATAGTGACCGTTAATCCCCTCATTGTGTACGGGAAATACTCGTGGCACTTGATCTGCGGGGAAGAGTATGCTTTGCCTATCCAATTTAAAGGTATTTCATATTACTCACCATATCGTTCTCACGGAACTGGGTAACCTGAACAATGACCCGCACGTTATACTGCAGGACCATGCGCCAAAAGTCCATTATGCTCTCCGGCTTTGGTCCCTGCGTGGCTATGTACTCCTTTTTTCGCGGATCTCCCTGCGGAATATAGAAATATTAAAGAGGAACCTGTCTAAACCTCCCTGGACTTACATCTATAAAGGAGGCGTTGATATAGTCCGATCCCTCGGCATCTATGTCGAGGATTACACGGTTCTTGTCGTCTGTGAAAAAGAACAAAGGTTTAAATTATCACAAACCCTTAGATTTCGCATTGCACTCACAGGGATAAATGTCCGCATATCGATTCTTGTGGCAACCCAACTCGGAGGCGGCATAGCTCAGTTCCAGAGCCTGCACGGTGATCTCCTTGAACTCCCGCGCCAGCTTCTCCGGCTTGGCCACCTCCGCATAGAAGATGGCAAAGTTCTTGGCAATCACATTTCCAAACGGATCCTCGATACCCTGGCCGGAGTCGCGATGCCTGCACAAGAAACAGATCACGGTTAGGAATCTCTTTACATAAGGAAATCACCAAGAGATTTAAACTTACCATGCCATCCGCTTTCGCACCCAAAGCACCGCCAGTCCAATGACAAAAGCCAGCAACAGACAGCTACACACGCTCACCAGGATCAGGGTAACCTTAAGGGCCGCCTCTGTCTTGAAGTACACCACAGCGGCGTCACTGTATCCGGACTTGGTGAACAGTCGCACCACCATGTTGTACTCCGTATCCGGCCGCAGTGGGCCGTTGCAAAAGCGCTTGCCCTCGTTACACTTGTCAGTCCCAATGGTAAAGACTATTTCCAGCGATTCCAAATCCACATCCCGGCTCTGCCGTTCCCTAGTGGTCACCACCGGCTGCCAGCGCTCCTCCGTTGTTTGGTATTGCAAGATACAAGATGGCCCTGTGCCATCGCCTCCAGCTTGCTCGTAATTCAAGACGTTGGGCCAACTGTCTCCGACGTTGTACTCCAGTTTTGGGGCATCCGCGCAGCTCGAGAGAAGAAGCGCAATATAGGTTATCTCTCCAGAGTCAGATTGCAAGATTTCCGCCGGAAGTCTAACGACCGCCGACTTGGTTGGGTGATTCGTCTGCTGGGGAATCACTTTCATCTCGTCCACAACTTGCTTGCTCAGGACAGCGGGTACTACAATGAAGTAAAGATGAAGTGCTCAAGAATAACAGACATGCAAAGAATAACAGACTCACATCCAGCTGGAGACTCCCATGAACCGGGCACACTTCCGCTTAGCTCCTCCACTTCTCGGTTTTTGACGGCCACCTGGACAGTGTAAGCATACTGCGGTAGCATGTCGGTCTCCGTGTACGACATCCTTCCCTTGAGGTTTTCCGTGTCCAGGGCCACCCTTCGCTGGAATGCAACCGGATTGTAGTTTGCCCGGCTTCCGCTGAAGCTCAGCTGGAAGTACTCAATTTCGCCATTGGATTTGCAGGGCACCGTCCAGGTGATGGTCACGTTCGCGTTGTACTCATTGTTGTCATTCGCCGGACCCTGGGGCAATACGGACAGCTGGGTCACGTTGTCGGAGACTGAAAGGCCAAGGTGTTCCATGAATACATGCGTGCTTAGAAATATTTTCAGTTACATACGTAAAATCGTTTAATTATGAAATTAAGATACACGTCCATGCTAAATTATGCAATCCTTTCACTCACCTGTCGGACGGGTGGTGCCAATCACAGGTGCCGTGTAGTCACCCATTCCAAAATCGTTCTGGGCCGCCACCTGCATTATATATCTTACCGACGGCGCCAATCCCGTGAAATTAGCATTCAGATCTCCCTTGGTCTCTGGCTTGGAGTCCTCAACGATTGCGGGGCAGTCCTCCGGCACAAAGTAGCTGGCCTCGTGACGCATCAGAAAGACCTGGTAGTACTTGATCGGGCCATTCAGATAGGTGGGTTGGCTCCAGTTGAAATGCAGGCTATTCCGGGTGCTGCCGATGAACTGCACATTCTCTGGCTGCTCGGGAACTGGGAAGTGTTTGGGAAAGCAACATAATTAAGCTTCTCCTACGATTGTTTGGCTCAGCTTACAGTAAGTTTCGGTCTGGAGATTATGTATGGTCTTCACGGGCGAAGGTCCTGCCACGTTGTACAATGTCACACTACAGGAGTAGTAGGTGTACGGGGAGAGCGGACTGAGTTTGGCCTGGAAGCCTGCAAGGGGAGCAAAATGATTAACATTCTCTCCGGGAGAAGGACTCCCTTTTGTCTATTCATACCTCGCTTACTGTGCCCCTCGACGTAACGCTCTGCGGAGGGATTGCGAACAGATGAGGTGGTGCTGCAGTTGAAGAAGGCAAAGATGGTCAGACAGGTGTTGTTGTAGTCTGCATTGTTTGCCGACAACTCCAGGCTATGGGAGGCCGAACCTTTGCCCGTCGGCTGGAGAGTGATCTGCGTCCAAGTGGAAGTGGAAAAAGATAAGCTCTTTCTTTTTAAAATACTCTTTCATCTGCTACGCCTACCTTGGAGGTATCCACAATGGCCGGCCGGGTCTCTGCCGCAACCTGCCTTAACTGGCCATCCATACTCTCCCTGGTATAGGGAATGATCTGGATGATGTACACCTGGCACGCCAGCAGATTGCTAAAAACCACGCTAGTGTTCTGGGTTGTGACACTTAGTGCCTCCACCTCCACCACCGTCACATCATCCATCCAGCCAGACAGGCGGTAGCCATCGATACAGAGATCTGCGTAGACAGGTGTCAACCAGGTCAACTCTAGCGAGAAGGAATCGGGCAGCAAGACGGGCTCCAGGATCTGCGTTGGTTCTAAACAAAGTAGGAGTCTTTTATTCATTATATCAGCCCTTAAACTCTATCCTCAACACTTACGATCTTCGCTGACAGTGCCTTCATCCTGGTACCGGGATCCAGAGCTACCATTCAGCAAGATGGGCACTATCTCCACGGTGTAAATGCCACAAGGATCGAGATTATCAAAGGCAGCAACCTTCTCCAGGGTCACCAAGTCTCTGGTTTCATTGGCAGGACGCTGACTGGGTCCGGAAAGCATTACACTGTAATTGGCCACACATCTGGGATGATCCTGGGGCGCGCTCCATGTCCAGCGTAGCTCCGTGGTATTGGAGACATGACTGGGCTCAAAGACAGCACTCGACACTGGCGTAGAATCACACAAGTAGGTTAGTTTAGGGTTGAGGAACTAATTTGACAAACGAAAGAACTCACCCTTTTCCGCCGATGTAAACTGCTGGGAGGACTTGGCCGTGGCGTTCTCATTGGTAAAGAGCTGAAAGGTGTAAAGCTCGCATCCTTGTAGATCCGTCAGTAGATACTCCCTGAGTTTGCCATCAGCCGAGACATCACTCCATTCGCATTCAACTTGAGGAATTTAAAGGGTTTACAATATATATTTATCCCTTCCAATAGCAAAACTCACCACTGTTGTACTCCGGCTGCGCTGGAGAGCTAGGCTCTTCTGTGCTGGCATCTGTGGAGGAGACCTCATCAGCGGTCGTCGTCATGGGCTCTTCGGTTGTGGTGGTTTCCGGTTCCTGAATGCAATCGTCGCGACGCCATTTGAAGACATAATTGCTGATGCAGTTCTCCTCGCTGGGATCGCCCCACTTGACCACCGTAATGCCATTGGCCAGGTTTGTAATATTCATCGCTATATCCCCTGGCTCCGCATACAGAGTATCCACATTTTCGGTATCTTGGTCCACCACTTGACTGGCATTGTTGTGGGTCACCAAGGTAATGGTGTGCATTAGACACGACTTTACGCCTCTGAAGGTATGGGTGCTTTTATCGTTCAGCTGCTCCGTCGAATAGGTATCCGCCGCCTTGGCTTCAATCTTGAAGAGAGCCACGCAGGCGCGATCGGTCGTCTGCCAGGTCACCTTGATGGTGTTCGCAGTGGGCACCACCGAGGTCATTGTGGTCCTGGGCTCTGAAGGAAGGGTAAGGAACTTAGCGTAAATCTTAACCAGAATTTAAAAGAATTCCTCTTTGCAGATACTAAAATCTACAAGCTAGCAGAGCTGATAGTTTTAAGAAGATATTTCCAAACATTAGGAACTTTATTTATAGAAATGTTTACACTCACGTTTGTACTCGGTGTAGGCATAAATCGTTTGGTCTGGAAGAGGCGGATTCCCAACGTCAGATGCACGAAAACTAACCACGCAGGTGTAGAAGGTGCAGGGATCTAGGCTTTCGCTGCAAGTAAACAGAGTTTAGTGAAACGTATCTGCATGAGACTAGAACCCTCTAATTCTTACCATACGTGAGCCTCGTTCGCCTTGGTCTCTGTACCGCTTCCATTGCGACAGGTGACGCTGTCGATGGCATATTCCGTGCCATCGGAGATCTTGAAGGCAAGAGTGTAAGCCGTGGACACTACGTTGACCTCAACCTCTGAAATGGGAGAAGGAGAAAGGTTAGAATTATCCTCTTGCTTTACAAAAAAGCAAAATTATGTCAGGGGTGTCAGGGGTGATATATTTGATAACCAAATAGTTAAATATACTCACTTTCAGCAAGTTCCTGGCTCCCACTGATGGCATTTCCTGTTATGTCAGATTGTCCTTGGGCCCAGGCGATCCACAGGGTCAACAGGATCAGCCGGATTACCTGGATGTTTGATTTCCAGTGTGTGGTGTCCATCTTAGGACCACATTGCTTCTGACAACTGTGCTGCTGTGAATAATATCAGTTTAAAAAAAAATATTAATAATTAATTAATAACCCAGGGGGAGATGCTAAGTGCAACCGGTTGCCTGTGGGATTTTCCATGAAGCAATAACCTCTCAAAAAACAAATCTACATAAATTCGAATACCTTTATTTAGGAATTCCAACTCAAAAATAAAACAAAAACAAGAAAGGAAACAAAGATCAGAAAGCCGAAGTTAAGATACCTTTGGAGGACCGTTTTGAAAATCAATCACAACTACACTTAATAATCGCATTCTTTGAAACGATATTTATATATATTTTTATAAGAAATCAAATCAAAGTTTAAAAAACTCATAACTCAGCCAAAAAATCGTTAATTTTAATTCTGAAAGCGTTCCTATGTTAGTTTTTATTAGGGTAATAAATCTACATACTCAATTTAAAATTAAAATTTTTTTCAATTTTTGACAATTTTAATGATGTAACCCCTTATAAAATTTCGAAAAAATTGGCAAATTTTGATTTTCTCTCGGGGATGGCTAGATCGACTCGGCTGTTGATGCTGATCAGGAATATATATGATTTATAGGGTCGGAAATGACTCCTTCACATATTTACAAGCTTCTGACTAAAATTATAATACCCTATTGAAGGGTATAAATAAGAGTTCACTGTACTTGTGCGCCAGCGAAAGGTGATGATTCGGAGATCTCTTTAGAGATTCTGGCACATCCAGTTGCTGACCAGCGCAACAATTTTTGTTTTCTTTTTGTGTGGAAGCATTTAAACCCAGGCCTGTACTGCCTGAGACTGATTTGTGATAATTACAGAAAATCCGCCGTGGATTTGAAAATGTAAACAAAGCACGAGGCAAGATATCAAGACTTACACAAGCCAACAGGAACGATTCAAAACCGATCAAAACTCAGGGAAGCAAGCTGCTTAAAGGCTGTTCAATGTCAGGTGGATTCAGAGAGAATCTTATCACTTGGGGGGAGGGCACTTCACACCGCCCAGAAAAGTGGTCAATACAGAGCCGACACAGATAGCGATTATAATCTGCTCGTTGGACAACCCAATATTGCTTGCTATAAATTAAAACTCTTAACGAGCGACGGTGGAATACCCATTAATCAAGGCTTTGTTTGCAATCCCATCACGAATTGATTGTGAATTATAAATAGATATAAACACTTTAGCTGCCGATATGCGAGATATAGAAGTAGTATGCGTCATCCGGCGATCTAATAGAACGAAATACCGCGAAATCGGCAGCACTAATTACTAATTTCTACTGTCGTCGTTGTCGGAAGGAAGATACATCACTTTGGCGCAAATAAAATTACATTTCTCGATACTTATTAATGGTTCGCCAGCCAACACACGTTCTTTATCTAAAATGGAATGAAGACAATTATTTGCCAGGTTCTACGATGCGCTGCGCTGGCTTGTTTAAACAAATCACTGAGAGTTCCAAACGCCGAAGCGCCAAATAAGCCAATAATAACAATTTAACGGTTACACACACGACCGACCGACCAACCAACTGAACGAACTGTCTTTATCAATGGCATATAATCAGTGTTGTCCAGATAACACGAGCATATGGCTGAGCGGAGGCCATAAATTGCTTTCGATTTTCAAATGGGAATCGGAACGCCATAAATAAAGGCAGCTTTCAGTGGCCAATGGATTATCCTGAATCACCGCCTATTGTTACACGATCAATCAATATCACTCTGTCGGCTATCGCGGGGATGTAATGCGAACAAATGGCTGTTTAATTCGATCTCTGATAACATTCTAGTGCCGAAATTTGGCAAATGATTTACATTATTCGGCAATTTGCACAATGAATTCGGCGGGAATAAAACACTGCACCACTACCACTCACTGCTAAAGAAAGATCGTTGGTTTTTGGGGTGCGCGCGACCGCGAATATTTTTCAGTCACTTGAATAATCAAAGGAATCGACCAAATCTCGCCTTGAATGTAACTTCTTCCGCTGAGCGTTTGTTGAGCACTGAGCGAAAGGGAATAATGAATAGTCTCTGATGCTCATTCGGCGCTGATAAGGAATAAGTTACTCTCATCGTAAGTGTGTGAGTAAGATAACAACAAATGCGATTTCACCACACTCGGTAGGGCCAAGAACAGTGCAATAAAGTAAACAATACCAGTTTTCCAAGAAAATTTGTAAAACAAAGCACAAAGTATTCATGTCTATTTTCAGCTAAGGGTTTTTGAAAAATAACAGTTTAGCAGATATCGCGCCAAAGAAAAATGTCTCTTAGAGAAGACACTTTTTTTCGCTTTTCCGTAGTATTTTTCAAAAATGTATCGGCTCCGATAGCTGCAAAACAAGTTCGATAAAAATATCGAACTAGTGAAGCGGGAATTTTCTAATTATTTCAATTTAAAACAACATTATCAAATTTATGCATTATTTACATTCATTCCTTACAAAATAGTTAATAATTGAAGATAATTTAAGGCTTTGACTGTAGAAAGCTTTATTAAAAACACGGCATTTACATATATTTATACATAAATCGTAAGTGGAAAGAAAAATTAACAGAATAAAAAACAAAACAAGAAATACGAACAACAGGTCCCAAGTGACCGTATATCTTTTTTCCTAAAATCTAGATTTTTACATAAGAGCTCTTATCGATATTTTTTACACGTGTTTACCCAATATTAATTAATTAAAAATGCCATCGATGTTTTCATCGACGTGTTGCTCACCTCTACTGGTCAGCATTCTGCGTAATTCTTTTCAACAATTCGAACTAAATAAATAAAGCGAGTTATAAATATATAAACCAATAACTTGATGTAAGTATGCCTAGCGCATAACGAAATGTGATCGAAACGCGAACGCCCCGAGTTGACGACATTTTTCGCAATGGTGACTTGTGTGCAATGGCAATTGGGAAAAAATGAAAAAGTGTCAAATGTATGACCCGTGACATAGTGTTAGTGCGCGCGTTATGTACCGAGAAATGAATAATAGAAAGCTCCTCTGGAGCAGCCACTATAAAATATTGTGCGTTCGAGTTACGGACATTTGTCCTTTTCCCATTTTGCATATTGTCTTTTGGACTATCCTCATCGCGCCCCCTCTCTCTATCCAAGATGGCCGTCGTAACAGTATTTTCGTTTGTGGCGTTGTTGTTGTTATTGTGTTTGCCTTGTGTTTGTTATTGAAAAGAAAACGAAAAAGCAAGAGAAAGAGTTATGCAAATTATGCACAATTTGTGTTAAACAAAAAGCCAAACCAGCCGTGTGCAAGGCGAAATAAAAGAAGATACAAGAAAACAATTACATTTTTTACAACCACCAGAAAGCGATGACACATCGCCTGGTGCCTTGGTGTTGGTGTGTGTGCGTGTGTGCCGTGTGATTTTTTGCGCATGTGTTGGGGCATTCGTCCTCCCCCTCACCACAGCAGAAGCCTGAACGATTGATCGATTTTTACCCAAGTCAAGCCAACTCCCCGATTCCTGGCATAGTTTCGCCCACCACCTTTACCCGGCCCCGAACCCGGGAGTGTGGCAAGAAATAGTTCAAACCAGTTCTGCCAATGCAGAAGAAATCTCGTTTTATTTTCATCACTTTGGTGTTGTGTGTTTTTACAGTTTTTCCGTTTTGGACTTTTTTTTCTTATTTTTTTTTGCTTCGTTCATGGCCAGGGCATTCTTTGAGGTATTCGAGAGCCGTTGTGTTTGCGATTTCCCGGAATGTGTGTGGAAAGCGCTGAGACAGCCCGTCTGTCTGCCAATTGTTGTTATCTTCTTGGGCCTTATCTGGGTTGCTGTTTATTCCACGTTCCCAGCTGAAGGTTATTGCAAAAAGAACAGCTAAACCCCCTTCTAAGCCCACCTAAAGGTTAAAGCCAGGAGTTTTCGTCACATTTTCGTTCCCTGCACTCAAGCTTTGTACTTGCATTCGCGGTCTGGCGTGTGTGGGCGAGTATGTCTGTGTGTGTGGGTTAATCAATGAAACACGCAAATCGAGTAAACAAGAAAAAGCAAGTGCAAGGTCTGTTTGCCAGAGCGGGAGAAAGAATTGCACACTGCACCGCTGCCTCAGAGGCAGAAAGAGAGCTCTGGCTGGCATCCTTATTGAGTGTGTGAGTTAGCTGCAGCCCTGGTCTCGCTCCCACGCCCCCGCGATCCGTCGTCTTCCGCGAGAGCATTTAAAATTCAAATATTAAATTAGCTTGGGCAAGTGCATCGGCAGCAATGGGAATGTGCCCGCTTGCTGCTGCTACTCACTGATTTAGTAACATTTCAGGCGAAGCGTGCGACCCAAACGACGCCCCCTTTTCATTGTGTTTTTCGCTATGTGGCACAAACACACACAATCGGAGGAGGGTACGGTTACAATGCGCATGTCGTTGTGTTGCCACAACAGAAATACTGTTGACTCCGTCCGGCATTCAGGGAGTTAAAGGAGCCACCCTGCCTCCCCCCCGCTTAAGGCCGCTCGTGGCCCATGCTCCGTTTCCATTAATACGCGTGACGTTGGTGGCACTCTTATTGATTTCCATGCGGTATATTTAGATGCGCAGTTAGCGGGCCACCGGTCCACCCACAGAATAAATATACATACATATATTCAAATGTCTCGTCACTGCCACCGAGAGCGTCCCTTTCCATTCGATTCCAAGCCATGCCATCCCGTACAGCAGCTGATAAGCCTCGCTCGGTGGAGGTGACTCACGGCTATTTGGAGTGCAAAGCAGCGGTTCTGGGAACTTGTTTGGTCAGTTTTTGGTTGTGGTTTGTCTTTTTTGCTAGTAGGAAAAAATCGTTAAATATCATTTGGCCAAAAATAATTTGAAAACGTCATTTCCTAGTATGTGCTGTGTGTGAGATTGTCTGCGAAAACAGCTGCGGTTCGAGTAATAGCACTTAATTATAATTGTTTTGATTGCAATGAATATTTTACTTATTTATATAATATATGTTTATATATAAAGTAAACCATAGTCGAATTTTCATAACTGTATAACTAAATTAAGTTACAAATTGCTATGGCCTTGCATTTTAGTCGGAAGCTGCAAAAACATTGAGGGAGTCATTCCGACCCCATAAATCATATATATTCTTCATCAGCATCAACAGACGTTTCTTTCTATCCATCTCCGGCAGAAAATAATTTTTTTCAAAAATGTTCAATTTTTGCAAAAAAAGGAAAGGGGTTACATCATTAAAATTGTCAAAAAAGTCAATTTTTTTTTAGATTTTAAACTGAGTATGCAGAATTGTTAACCTCGTAAAAACGAACATGGGAAAGCTTTCCGAATTGAAATTACTGGCTTTTTGGCTTAGTTATGCAATTTTTAAACATCGATTGTCAAGTAAAAATTAGTGCCTAAATTAATACTTATTTTTGATCCTTTGCAGTATTATAGTTTTAGTCAGAAGCTGCAAAACAGTGAAGGAGTCATTTCCGACCTAACATATATTCTTGATCTGCATGAACAGACGAATCTTTCTGGCCATCTTCGGCAGAACATATTGGCTTTTTTGGCTTAGTTATGAGATTTTTAAACTTCGATTGTCATGTACAAATTAGTGCATAAATTAATACTTATTTCTGATCCCTTGCAGTATTATAATTTTAGTCGTAAAAATTTTAATATAGAAAATATCAATTCAATTCAATTTCAATTCAATTCTAAACATTTAAAAAGTTGGATAAACGAATAATAAGTCTATATATTGATTTCTTTATCATTTGACCTATAAAAGCATTCACCATTGAATAGTTTCTTTAATCTTAAGAACTATTAATTTGCCCTTAGCTGTATCTGTTTATGCTACTTCCTCCATCGCACGCTCTTTCGCAGCCTTATTTACCTATAAGAAGTTGCTTGAACTACCGTTAAGTCCGGCTAATTGGCTTTGCCCACAGCCGGCCGTCATGTGTTGTTGGCAACGCGGCTGTTGGCTGTCCAGCGTTTGTTATCAAGTACGCGAGATATGCGCTCGCTTTTAGCCGCCGTTGATTGTCGCTTTATGGCGTGCTATACCTGTGATTTGTCCACCTTGAGTTGATAGAATTGGTCTAGCAATGCCAAAAGCAACACAAAAGCCGCACTTACTAAAGCGAAGCAACAGCAGTGTCTAGTTTTGTCTGATTCCATTTGGAAGCTTAGATTTTCGCGATTGCTGTCGAACGACCCTTGAACTTATGGATGACGAGTGCAGCTGGATTGCAGGGCTACCAACTTGTTGTACGCTCTGAGCTTTCCCAACAGCTTTTCGATTATTATTATTCGTGAGGTAAGAGAGCACAAACAAAAATTTGTGCCAGAAACCGAAAACGGTTCAACGTTGCTGATGGCGATAATGATGATGATGCTCCGTAGCAATGAACTGAAAATACAAGAATATAATGACTAGACGAAAGATGAGCAGAAGAAACACATATACTGTGGCCAAAAAATAAAGAAAAAACCGAAACAAACCTCAAGAAATGTGGGTGACTTGCCCTCCATGAGAATTCAAACGAAACTCGCTGGCATTTTTGGCATTTAACTTTTGCGAAACCAATTTCCTGTCTCTGGCACAGCAGCAATTCATCATGATACAGTCCAACTTCCATAACTTGAACTTTGAGTAGATCCATATTCTCTCTTTCTAGCAAACTAAGTAAAAATAATATTAGATTAAAGACTAATTAGAAAATAGTTTATATAGGTTAAACCAGTTCAAGCCCCCACTGTATGCATATATGTATTTAACGCCCTTACGTCTTTCATTTGCAGAATTACAAAAATTGAAAGCGGTTAACCGAATCGAACGAGAGCAGAATAACAAGCCAAATCGGGGAACAGTATGAAAATGGTGTTGTCGCAACGGCAGCGCGAGGAGCTGTAAGTCATATTAACCACCCTTCCATAGTTTATCCCTATTTAAACATGATTTTTCTTTTGTTCTCTAGTAACCAAGCGATTGCCGATTATCTGGGCTCAAATGGCTACGCCGACTCTCTGGAGACCTTCCGAAAGGAGGCCGATATCAGCACGGAGGCGGAAAAGAAGTTCGGCGGACTGCTCGAAAAGAAGTGGACGTCCGTCATCCGGCTGCAGAAGAAGGTGATGGAATTAGAGGCTAAATTGGCCGAAGCTGAGAAGGAGGTCATCGAGGGTGCGCCCACAAAGAACAAACGCACGCCCGGCGAGTGGATACCGCGGCCGCCAGAGAAATACTCCCTAACCGGACATCGGGCCAGCATAACTAGGGTAAGTTTTCCTTTTAAACTCATCGGTGTGTTAAGCTAATGGATTTCTTAATCATTTATAGGTAATATTTCATCCCATTTTTGGCCTAATGGTGTCCGCATCCGAGGATGCCACCATTAAGATCTGGGACTTTGAAACTGGCGAATACGAGCGCAGTCTCAAGGGACACACAGACTCGGTGCAGGATGTGGCATTCGATGCCCAGGGCAAGCTATTGGGTAAGTCTTAAAGCTCACATAGTTTATCTTCAATAACATAATATCGATTTCTTTTCAATGAAGCTTCCTGCAGTGCGGACTTGTCCATCAAATTGTGGGATTTCCAGCAGAGCTATGAGTGTGTCAAAACCATGCATGGTCACGATCACAATGTTTCGTCGGTGGCCTTTGTACCCGCCGGCGACTACGTTCTGTCCGCATCGCGAGACCGCACCATCAAAATGTGGGAGGTGGCAACAGGGTAAGCATAAGCAGGGGACGACGGCGTGTTTGAAAGTAACTTGACCAATCTGTTGATTTGCCTGCTCCCCAGTTACTGTGTGAAAACCTACACGGGCCATAGAGAGTGGGTGCGAATGGTGCGAGTGCACATCGAAGGCAGCATCTTTGCCACATGCTCAAATGATCACACAATACGTGTTTGGTTGACGAATTCAAAAGACTGCAAGGTGAGTGAACGCATGCGGGGAAGTAGCTTATGCTGGCAATGAAGTTAACTAAAATTTAAATTAACTTGCAGGTTGAATTACGCGATCATGAGCATACCGTGGAATGCATTGCCTGGGCGCCGGAAGCCGCAGCCTCGGCGATAAACGAGGCAGCCGGAGCTGACAACAAGAAGGGCCACCACCAGGGTCCTTTCCTAGCCTCTGGCTCTCGCGACAAAACCATTCGCATTTGGGACGTCAGCGTCGGCCTCTGCCTGCTCACGCTGAATGGCCACGACAATTGGGTGCGTGGCCTGGCATTCCATCCGGGCGGCAAGTATCTGGTCTCGGCCAGTGATGACAAGACCATTCGGGTCTGGGACTTGCGCAACAAGCGATGCATGAAGACGCTATACGCGCATCAGCATTTCTGCACCTCCATAGGTAAGTCCTTTATCAGAATCTTGTACCTGAAAATACATAAAAAAAACTGTGAAATCGTACTTTTTCATTGCAGATTTTCACAAAGCGCATCCGTACGTCATTAGCGGTAGCGTAGATCAAACAGTTAAGGTCTGGGAATGCCGTTAAATTAAAAGGAGCTCTCGGCAAAGAAAGGGTTCTTCTGCTTACTTCTCAATTTAAATAATAAATAAAGTTAATATATTGAATCACAACAACCCACACACCCACACATACGAGCAGTCTCAGCCACCTACGCGAAGGTTTAGTTTTCTAGGCGCTTTCTGTGTCAGCGTCCCAATGCAAAATATAAACGTAACTGTATTTAAAATCTGAATGAATGAAACTGGCGAAAAACGAATTATTTATTTAATTGTACGACCCTCTAACAACTAACTAACTACCTACCTACTATATACAAAGTACATATACATTAATGCCTAAAGAAATATAAACCTACCTACGATTATCGATTAAACCTTAAAGTAATGTCACGCCCCTCTTTTACCAATCACAAGTAAGCAGGCTCGCGAAAGGAGAGAGTATTCACGCCGTTCATTCGATAGATACAGATCCATCCACAACAATGTACCCGAGCACTTGCATACACTTCAGAAATTCAATATCGCCGTGTTGACGTGTTTAATAGTGTTTGCAAACTATGAATAATGACAGCGAAATACGCCGAAGAAAATGAAAGTGAATGATGAAAAGTATTTCAGATACTTGGACAACAACTTGTAATCACAACAAGAGCTTCGTTATTGAGAATTAACTTGCTTTTACCATAAGTTTGAGGTAATTTTACGATAACAATGATTTGCTTCATTTTTTTACTCTACAACACGAGTTCCCCGAGTCCTGTTTTGTGTTCTTTTTGTCGCGAAAGGATCTTCACACAAAAGCAACAAAATCTATCAAAATGCTTACAAGTTTAAGTTGGCTTTAAGTTCAAAATATGATTTATGTTTACGGTTTACATATTAGAAAAATGCTGCAAATTTAATTGTAATAGTTTGATTAAGTGCAACCGCAAAAATATACATATAAAAATATTATACTATACAAATAATTATTTGTGGAAAAAATAAGAAACTAAAAAACAACAAAATGTTCATAAAAATGTATGCAAAGAAGCACCAGCAATTATAGAAGAGAATTTTTGGATTTAAAACAAATCGATTTACGGAAAACAATAAAAACTCGCTTCTTCAAAAAAAGGAAGAAAACTCAGAGAGAAATGTTTGTAGTGGTGACGGACTGTTTATCGTCAAGGATTTAATGTAGAATCTTGACTATCTATATATTGCCTTCGATGACAAATTTTGAAAGCATTTATTGTACTCAAAAATGCTACATTTGATGCACTTAATTAACATAAGATATAGAAGCATGCACTAAACAAAAAACCATACAAACTCAATGCATACGTCGCAAAACCGCTTTTGTCTCAACCAAGCTGCTTTAAATCGATGCCCTCAGATAGTAAAACCGAGAAGATACTACTGGCGATGTGTAGAAATCGCTTAATATATATATAACGAAAGTACTATGAATAAAACTGCAATTTGTTTTATTAATACCTAGATTGTGTATTCTTGACCATAAATGCAAGCCTAAGAATCCTTGTTGTCCTGGTCATCAGAGTTGGCTTTGTCTGGCTCTTGCTCCTTGTGATCAATGGCTTTTTCACGCGACGTATCAGTATTCGCTTCTGGTTCCTGGTCGGTTGTCTCTTGCTTTGATGGCTCTTCGTTGTCATGTGTGGACTCCTTGACAGCCCCTTCCAAATCATCTTTTCCTCGAGCTTCTGCAGTTTTCTCATCTTCCGAATCACTGCCACTAGACTCTGATACCTCCTTGGCTTCTGGCTTCTTCTGGTCGCGCGGCTTTTTCGCCCGCTGCTTCTTCTTAAGCCGTTTGGCTCGCTTCTTTGCAGTTTTTTCTTCGGCTGCTCGACGATTGTCGTCCAGCTTTTGCTGGTAGGCATCGTCCGCTGCTTCCCGGGCGCTCTGGTTTTGTATGTTCTTCTGGCGGGCGTACTCCTTGCGACGCAAATGGCGGTAGACATGGAACTCACCGGAACCGGCTCCAGCGCTGCTTCCCATCACGTTTCGCACAAAACTGGGCACCGAGGACATGTAGTCCCGCTCCCGACGCTGCTCTGGTATGACCACGGGCTTATCCTGACCAATTAAGAACCAATTGATATTGAGTGTGTTTAGTCGACGAATTCATCCATACTCACCGGGTTCTTCATGAGTTTCTCCAGCTTCAGCCTTTGCAGATCTGTGGCGGTTTTGACAAATGGTCGGAGGGGTTTGTCCTTCCCATCGGAATCGCTACCTCCGGATCCGTCATCCTTCTTCTTTTTCTTGGGCTTGTGCTCGGATTCCTTAACCAAATTCTTTATAAGCGACATTATTTGTTATTTTATGTTGTTCGCGGCTGTTGGCTGTTTCGCAGAAAATACTCCGCCGCATATCGATTTGGTACTTTTTCATTGGTGGACTGGTCACATTTATTCTCTGAATTAAAATTTTATTGCAAGTCCAATTGAACAAATTTACTGATTCTAATCACTACGTAATCATCCCGGAATTAATCTATTAAAGTTAAGACTATTTCTGAATATTTTATTGCAGTTCAGGCTTCTTGAAAGCCTGCAAATTTAAACCGCCCGTGTTCACACACCATGAATGGAAAAATTCGTCGGAAAATACCTACTCGCAGCTGGCGGCAGGCTTCACCAAGCGGCGTTTTTCAACTTTCTGCCGTGGGTCACTCTCAGCCGTCAACACAACATAACGCGTTATTTTATATCGGATCGGATCGGCCGAATATATATCCGAAAAGTAGTTATTGTGCTAAAAAGAAGCTACCAAAGAGTAATTTGTCAGCGACCGTCAGACAGAATTTAATCTTGTTCGTAGTTGACCAAAAAACACTTCAAATCGAATCCAAATCCCCAACTCGGCAAGCGGTTAGAGTTGTGTAACACGGACGGGCCCGAGGAAGCAGAAGAAACTAGAACTAGAGCTCTGTGTTCGCTGGTTAGCTAAGCTTGTTCTCTGTTCGTGGTTGGTTGTGTTTGTGGTAGAGGAGCAGCAGGTGACCGAGAGGAACGACGGTATCGACATGGCGCTAGAGACGGAAGCAAAGAACCCGAGTGCAGCGACAACAGCAACAACGGCGGCGACGGCTACTAAGGCCAAGGAGAACAACAATACGGTCGGCGGCAAAAAGAATCAGAATCCCAATCAGCAGAACCAGAACTTGGTCAATGGCAATGGCACGGCTGCCGACGGTGCTGCGGCGAAGAAGAAAGGTGCGTTCAACTTTCCGGTCACGCCCCCTTCCTCAGAGCACCCCACCCATAACCCACCACCCCCCCACCCGCTATCAGCTACCATGGAGACTGCCTAAAATATTGTATTTGCCGCAAAACGCCAATCACATAACAATTTCCCCATTACGTAATGGATTTTTTCTCCCTATAATGCTTTAAAAGCGGCGCCCGCCATCTATTGCCGCCCCGTCCCCTCTCGTTTCGCCCCTTCCCTCGCCCCCTGATACCGCGTGCGTTACAATTGCAAATGCAAGTGTATGTGTATTGGAGTTGAGTGCGTGCAGTGCAGCAAGTGTGTGCGAGAGTGGCTCTCTGGCATGGCAACGCACATGTTGTTCACCCGGCGGCGATGTGTTCATTAACCCCCAGGGAGCTGAGGATTTCTTGTTGCGTTTAACCTACAATTAACACGTGCTTGGCCCGAACTGCAAGCAGCAAGCGCAAACACTTACACGAATTGCTCGACAATTATGTAAATCATGTTTTCTATCCGCTGCGAGCGCATCACCGAAAAGAGAGCATTTCTTCCTATCTCTCCATCGCTCTCTCGGGCCGTCATGTACATTGTACTTATCACTTTTGCTTTCTCCCGCTCTCATTCTCTCTATGCCGTGATCTTTCCCTCGCTCTTTGCTGTAATTTGGAGGGTTGCTGTTGAAATTAGCGAGTGTGTGTGAATTCCATTTCCCAGTAGGAGAGATCGACAGGAGATTGGATTATTATAAGTTCTAGGACCGTACTCCGTAGTCCACATACACAGCAGCTTATCAGCTCGCATTTTGTTTGTTTTTCTGCTGTTTTGTTTCATGAGCTGCTGCCGGCAAAGATACACACGAATAAACAAATACACACACACAAGCAGCCACAGTGACCCGCAGAAGTAAACGAGCATGCGGTATGGAATTGTTATGTAAATCCCGCTGACGAAGTTTGAAATACCAGGAATATCTATATTTCGATTTGTTCAGAGTTCTGTAAGGTTGTATTATGTAAGCGTACAAATAATTAGTACAATTTCATCGTCTATAAAAATATTAACATGTTATAGTGTGATTTGCAGAAATTTATGATTTAAAGAAAGACCTTAAACTTTTAATTTAAATTGTCCTGAATTTGTCTTAATTTTTGAATAAATAAATCTATTAAAATCGGTCTCTAAAAAGTATGCTTTAACATTTTACGTATTATTTCAAACCAAAGACAGTCAAGATTTTTGAATACTCTTTTTACCTCACCTTCAGTAAACCCGTCTAAAATAGAAAATATTTAGATATAGAAACGGAATTCTTCTGTAAAACGTTTAAATAATAGAACCCGGTTCAGAGTTCACCCTTTGTAATAAAGCCTCCGATGTATATCTCGACTTTGACTTACAAATATATGTACATATCTTCGTTTCGTCTAAACAGGCAAGAAGAACAGAAACAAAAGTCCACCAGAACCCGCTACGGAGAGCACTGAAACCGCTCTGAGCAACGGGCATGCCGAGAAGGCAGCTGTTGAAGGAGACGCCGATTCCAATGCTAATGTGGCAGCTGACGGCGGAGAGAAGCCAGAGGGAGCCGTAGCATCGGGCGGCGGGCAGGCGGAGACGGAGGACATCGACCTAGATGCTCTGCATGATGTGAGCATCACGGTGAACATCAGCAGTCCTGGAGCGGACAACCTACTTGTGCAGCTGTCGAGCATGGAGTTGGTACAGGAGATCCACCAGCTGCTTATGGATCGTGAGGAGACGTGCCACCGCACCTGTTTCTCGCTGCAGCTGGACAACGTGACGCTGGATCACTTTGCAGAGCTGAAGACCATCGAGCACCTGGAGCAGGGTTCCACCATTAAGGTAGTGGAGGAGCCGTACACAATGCGGGAGGCCCGTATCCATGTGCGCCACGTGCGGGATCTTCTCAAGAACCTCGATCCGGCAGATGCGTACAATGGTATCGATTGCAACTCGCTGACCTATCTAAACACGATCACTCAGGGCGATCTGTTGGACAAGAAGAAGACGCGACCGGATTCAGTAGATTGCACACCTCCGGAGTATGTGACGCCGGGCGTGTACGAGCCACCGCTGCTGCCACTGCATCCGAATGTGAAGAACGCCAAGGGGCCGCAGGCTCTCAAGGTATTGACAACATCCGCTTGGAACCCTCCTCCCGGTCCCCGCAAGCTGCACGGTGACCTCATGTATCTGTACGTCGTCACCATGGAGGACAAGCGCTTCCACATTTCCGCCTGCTCCAAGGGATTCTACATTAACCAGTCGACGGACGACACCTTCAATCCAAAGCCCGAAAACCCCAGCCACCTCAGCCACTCGCTGATCGATCTGCTCTCCCACATATCGCCCTCGTTCCGCCGTGCCTTCCAGACCATTCAGAAGCGTCGCACCATGCGCCACGCCTTCGAGCGGGTGGCCACGCCCTATCAGGTGTACCAGTGGGCCTCGCCCGTCCTAGAGCACACCGTGGATGCCATTCGTGCCGAGGATGCCTTTAGCTCCAAGTTGGGGTAAGTCTCTTTTACAGATCTTATTTTAAGGCCTACGCTTGGACTTACTTAGTTATTCTTAATGGCCAAATGGCTCTCTCTCGAATTGCAGCTATGAGGAGCACATCCCTGGACAGACACGAGACTGGAATGAGGAGCTGCAGACGACACGAGAACTGCCACGCAAGACACTGCCAGAGCGTTTGCTGCGCGAGCGCGCCATCTTCAAGGTGCACGGCGACTTCGTGACCGCTGCTACGAGAGGCGCTATGGCTGTCATTGATGGCAACGTGTTGGCCATCAATCCCGGCGAGGACTCCAAGATGCAAATGTTTATCTGGAATAACATATTCTTCTCGCTGGGCTTCGACGTCAGGGACCACTACAAAGAGCTGGGCGGCGACGCAGCAGCCTTTGTGGCTCCGCGATACGATCTGCATGGAGTGCGTGTCTACAATGCCGTGGACATCGAGGGTCTGTACACGCTGGGAACGGTGGTAATTGATTATCGTGGCTACCGCGTTACAGCCCAGTCCATAATACCTGGCATTCTTGAGCGAGAGCAGGAGCAGAGCGTGGTGTACGGCTCCATTGACTTTGGAAAGACGGTGCTGAGCCACCCCAAGTACTTGGATCTGCTGCGGCAGGCGGGCAAGCATTTGAAGATCCTGCCACATGCGGTACTCAACGAGCGAGACGAGCCCGTGGAGCTGTGCTCTTCAGTGGAGTGCAAAGGCATCATCGGCAACGATGGTCGGCACTACATTCTTGATCTGTTGCGCACCTTCCCGCCAGACGTAAACTTCCTGAAGCTGCAGGACGTGCAGCTGAGCAAGGAGCTGGTCGATATGGGCTTCCCCATCGAGCACCGTCACAAGCTGTGCTGTCTACGACAGGAGCTGCTGGAAGCCTTTATCGAGGACCGGTATGTAAGTTTCATCCGGATAGCAGCCGTGCACCTGCAGCAGCTTAATGCGACGAAACAGTCGGAGAAGTCCGACGAGGAGAAACCAGTACCAGCCTTGGAAGGTGCGGTTAAGGATGCCAAGGAGAATGGAGCAGAGAAGCCGAAGGAAGCTACTGAGGACAATAAGGAGGAAAAGAAGGAGCAATCCACTGCTGGCACCACAAAGTCCGCCGAGGCCATGGTAAATGCTATCCGGGAGGCGCAGTCCAATGTGGCCACCTCCAACGAGGTGCAAGCCGCCGAAGTGGTCAAAAGGGCGTGTGCAGCAGTTGGATCCCTAAAGGAGAAGGAATTCGATTTCCGCTTCAATCCCGACGTCTTCTCGCCCGGAATTCGGCATGTGGACGGCGAGGAGGGCACCTGCAGCTCGCTGGCCAAGCAAAAGGTTCTCGTCCAAGACGCCGCCGAGTTTCTGGTTGTCAAGCAGATACCCGCCTTCATCAAGGAGCACCTGGCCCACGCCTCACCGCCAATTGACGGTCAAAGTCTGACTGAATCCCTACACAGTCATGGCATAAACGTACGCTACTTGGGTAAGGTAATCAAGCTGCTTGCCCAGATGCCGCGCATGGACTACCTGTACAGGATCGCAATTCTCGAGCTCATTGTGCGGGCCACCAAGCACATCTACTACACCTACATGCAGAATACGGAGCCACTGCATCTGTCTGCCGCCATCAGCCACTTCCTTAATTGCCTGCTAACTAACGGACCAGTGAATCCTGCCGTGAGCAGCGAGGAGGCGCACAAGAAACGCGGTAACGGCGGCAAGCACAACAAGCACAAGTCCTCCAAGAGCGGCAAGGGCCAACAGCAGCAGCAGCAGCAATCGACCGGTGGCAACCAGAATGGCAACTCGTCTGGAACTGGATCCACCGCTTCGGTCGCCTCCGATTGGACGTTGGTGACGCCCCGTTCGCTGTGGCAGCAGATTCGGCGAGAGGCCAAGGCCTACTGGGACTGGGATCTCGACTGCGACTCCATGGAGAGCGCAACGACCAAGTTCGGTATCCTGCGGATCAGCCTGCTGCGAGCCTTTTGCCTCAAAGTGGGCATCCAGGTGCTGCTACGCGAATACAACTTCGAGTCCAAGCACAAGCCCACCTTCGGGTCCGATGACATTGTCAACGTGTTCCCAGTGGTGAAGCACATCAGTCCACGGGCCACGGACGCCTACAACTTCTACACGACGGGCCAGGCCAAGATCCAGCAGGGCATGTTCAAGGAGGGCTACGAGCTCATCAGCGAGGCTCTTAATCTGCTGAACAACGTTTTTGGAGCGATGCACCAGGAGAACGGATCCTGCCTACGGATGCTGGCCCGGCTCAGCTATCTGCTAGGAGACGCCCAAGATGCGCTGGCCATCCAACAGCGCGCGGTGATCATGAGCGAGCGCGTGAACGGCATTGACCATCCGTCGACCATTTTGGAATATGTACGTAGGACTCGAGGTCCACAAGGATTTAGATATTTTCAACCACTATCTTTCTTTCAGACACACTTATCCCTCTATTCATTTGCCAACGGACATGTGGGAATGTCACTGAAGCTCCTGTACCGAGCCCGATATCTGATGGTGCTCATCTGCGGCGAGGATCACCCGGAGGTGGCACTGATCGATGTGAGTTTAACTATGTCCTTTATCTACCATCCCCTACTGATACGTTCTCTATTTATTGCAGAGCAACATTAGCTTAATTTTGCACGCCCTGGGAGAGTACGAGCTGTCGCTGCGATTTATCGAACACGCCCTCAAGCTGAACCTTAAGTACTTTGGCAACAAGGCCATGCACGTAGCGGTCAGCTATCACTTGATGGCTCGCACTCAGTCCTGCATGGGCGACTTCCGCTCAGCGTTGAACAACGAGAAGGAGACCTACTCCATCTACAAGTCTCAGGTGAAGTATATATTGATGTCCATTGAAGCTTTAGTTAATTTCTCTGTTTCTGTTGATAGTTGGGCGAGAAGCACGAAAAGACTAGGGACTCGGCCGAGTGCCTGCGCCTGCTGACCCAGCAGGCTGTGCTGCTGCAGCGCAAGATGAATGACATCTATTCCAACGGCAAGCTGACCACCGACCTGCCGCCCATCCACATCACTCCGCCCTCTATGGGCTCCGTTCTGGACATGCTGAACACCATCAACGGCATACTGTTTGTGCAGATTAGGTGAGGCAGGAATTTAGTTTAAGATATATCCGGACTTAATTAAACGTTTATCTTTCACGGAATACAGCCAAAAGGACATAGTCAAGGTACGCAGCGAGATTGAGAAGCATTTCAAGGCCAATAATGCCGAGAACGAGGTAAACGATGCCATCAAGTCCATTGTGGCTGCTGCCAACAACAATGGCGAGATTGAAGGTGAGGTCCCGAAGGAGGATGCGACTGCAACGGCCACGCAGATAACGAACGGAGAGGAGGCGCCGGCGGCTTCAAGTTGAACAACACTCCAATGGCAAAGTTAAAGATAGTTGAAGTCATCCCAACAAAAGTCACAAAAATTTGCCGCCTGTTCCGTTGCATTGTCTGTAGCATCGTTAATCGTACATTTTCGGACTGAGCTAAATTAGAAACAAGCAGGCGGGCTTTCAACAACAACAGCAATGACCTGGAAACTGCAAAATCTACAACTAATTAACATCGCAATAAAAAACATAAGTGTTTATGTTTTCCTCGAAGGCTGCTCCTTGTACTGCTCATACCCACACACACATCGCATGGCATCGTATCTAAAAATACCCATAGAAGGCACCTATCTACATATATCCACTCTAGGATATAACTTAGACTTAGTCAATCTATCTATCAGCAACACTACCCAGCATCATCTTAATCCAACCACAAATAACTACCAGCTGCGACAGAGAGCTGTCAATGTTTCAAGATGAGGAATATAGTCTATAGCTCATACACATACGATATACAACATACATATATGTTTTGTTAACCATTTGCAAACCCGTCAAATGCCTTTTATAGTTTGTAATAAGCATTGTTTCTGTTGAATCAACTTTACAACGAGTGCAACTACATATTTTACACAGTAACGTTAAGGTGCGCCCCAATCCGAAAAAGATGGAAGAAATATTGAATGATGATTACGTTTTTGTTATACAACTATCATATAGATATATATGCATATATATATCGGAAAATATATACTATATACATTGTAATGCATACACTTTTGGGTCCTTGGGCCGCAAGGACATTTAATCATGAACAAAATGGTTTTTTATTATTCAAATGGTCGACAATCGGTCGAGCAAATAAAAGTTAAGAAGCTGCCAAAAGTGGACTTTCTGTTTGAAAAAGTGGCAATTTAATACGCTAAACTTGTTCGATAACCTATAGATAAATGGGTGATTGGTGGGGGTTATTACATACAGTAAAAGAATACTGGAATGAACGTAGTCTAAAAATGCAAATTTCTATTCTTAAAAAAGCTCCTAAATGCGACTACTTTCGTTTTCTGCACTTGTTGCGTCCCTTTCGCCTCCTGCCCGGCGTTTTGTTTGGAGATTTGCCATTTTTCGATGCCGCTGCCGCCTGCTGCTGGGCCGTTTTTGGCACTGTTCCACCCGCTCCGCCAGCGTTTGAGCCAGCGGCGGATACATTGCTCTGCTTATTTATCCGGTTAGCTGCTCCCTGGCCGCTGACCTTTTTCGATGGTAGCAAATGCTGGCTAACCAGCTCACCAAGGACGCCTTGGTGTGCCAGCATCGAGAGGAAGGTGCAGATGAACTTATCGTAGTTATGCGTGCGCCGACTGGCGTCCACCTTGAACATGTGACGGCGATCGTTCTCGTCGGCCAAATGCTGCTCGTTAATGGCTATCTCGGTGTCCAAGTTCTTCAGCAGCGACTGCAGATCCCGGGCAGTAAAGGCGCTAGGCTCCAGGAGCGTGGTGGGTGTATCCGGGCGTTGTGAGTCTCCGTTGCCCGACTCTACCTGCTCATCCGCCTTCAGCAGTTTCTGAAGGGTTCCAGAGACGATAGCTTGATTGGTCCGCAGCATCTTGAGCTTATGCGTTATGGCTATTCGTCGGTCGGGCACTACAGCCATTAGGTTAAAGCGTATGTCCTGCTCCCCAGTGGCGATTCCCAGGCGCTCCGCCATCACACGTCGAAACTTGGCCGTCCAATCCTCGTTATCCTCCCATCCGCCGTGGTTCATAGGATAGGGCTTTAGGCCATCCAGTTCAAACAACTGACCGTTGATGGGCACGAAGCTGACGAAGTGAAAAGCCTCTCCAGTAAAGCGGCAGCTGGAGACACCGGCTCCAGTGCGCTCCAGGCGTCGACGGGCCTGCGGCATGGCATGCGAATTGTGGGCACATGCCAGCTCCGGAGTGTTGCCAATGGCCAGGCCCTTGTTCTCTGGACTCATGCCCTTCGTGTGTGCCTTCAGGCGACTGAGGGTGTCGCCAAGCTGCAGGTTGTTTTCGTTGCAGTTCAGGAGAACGGAAAGCAGGGCGTGAGTAGCGCAGCTATTGGGCACCACCTGCTGAGCGAAGAAAATGCTGGAAATGGCTTCTTCGTCCTTCACAAAGATCTCTGCGGTGGTTTCCACAATCTTGCGCCTGGCCCGTCGCTCTTCGATCCAGCGAAAAAGGAATATAAAGCCATAAGGGCTTTCGATGGGCTTCTGCAGATCATACACCTCCTCCACCTGTACATCGTGACCTGATAAAGAGAAAGGCTGATTAGTCGGTTGGAAAGGTGATTTAAGTATACTGTATTACAGCCGAAATCCTCTAGCAGAAGGGTAAAGAGACCCGGATCGGACTCCAGCTCCAGCCAGCCGTCCGCCAGTTGTGCCATCGGCATGGTGGTTGCTCCGGATGTTGCCGCGAGGAGCGAGTTGTTGGGGAGAGTGCTAGCGCTATTGCTGGTTGCTGATGCCATTTGAAATTAAACTTTGAGCAAGTCTAGAGCTGTAAGAACACAATTCCTAAGAAAAGAGCCGATGTAAATAGAGATAAAAGGCAATATGGATATTTTAGTAGACAGCTTCTGCTACTTCTTTACAACAAAGAATACGGAGCTGTTCGATTCAATTTCTGACAAACAATTAAACGCTTACCTTCTTCTGCACGTTTTGAAAGCTCCAGCACTTGAGTAAGTTCCTTATTTTCCATAATTCATTTTTAATTTTAATAAAAACAGTCTGCACCAATTTTTTTTCTGCTAAAGTGTGCCCGTTGGGAAACAGGCGATTACGTCCTAACGCTTCGTATGGAAATTTTACCCTCGAAAGCCGAGTGTGTCAACGTTTCCAGGCGAATTGTCAGGAGTTTACAGTCAGCTGTTTATTCACGTAACTTTTACTTTTTTTCTTGAATCATAACTAAATTGGGTTTTATTGAAATGGTTCGCCCCACTATCGTCCTTAATATGGCCAAGCGAGTGCCACTCATCAACTTCCGCAAGGGCGGCGGTGGAGCGGCGCCTGGCGCCCAGTCCGCAAACCAGCAGGCAAGTTCCGAGCCAGCAGGAGGCAAAAAGGTTAACTCTTTCAGTTCATTTACTACAACAAAGTATCTCGATCTTGGTACAATTAACTAATTCTTTCCTGATGTATTCAGTTGGCTGGCGGTCCCGCCATCGAGGATTACGAATTGCCTGCCCGCTTCGCTCGCAAGCCCATCGACCCGGAGGAGGCGGAGTACATCAACAACGGTGGACCACCGAAATAAACTATTAGTGTCGTGTCCCGTTCGGAAAAAAAATCGTGTTGAAACTCATGTCACCGCTGACTTAGCAATCGCCGCCACATCCATATATCACGCATGTTTAACGTAAATTATACAAACCAGAATTAAACTACAACAAAACCGAGTCAGAATTTTAAATTCAAGAACCGTCGGAGTCTCGTTGCGAATGGAATCAGCTGGTTTTTGTACGAGTGCCTAGCAGTCTGGAAACGCCACACGTTCTTGGGACCGTCTCTAGCTTTTTTAGAAGGTTTTCGAGAGTTTGCATGCCGAAAACGGTAGAACCGCCCTGCTTCAAATGTTCCGCGGGGGTTTTCAACGCTCGCAAAAAACTTGGTTCGCAGAAATAGGCATAAAGCGAAATATTCTCCTCGAACTGTATGGCAACGTTTCACAGAGACCGCTGGCCGCTGTTGCCGCAATTTAAAAGGCCAGATTTAACTGGAAAAAAGCAAAACTGGCAACACTGATAGCAAAAGCTTTTCCTAAATTCAGCCCTGATAATACAAAGGCGAAATATAAAAACTCAAATTTTCTACTTGCTCCAAGTGAAACGGACGTGCTTTTCCCACACGCGAACGAACGTCTCCGCTCATTTGTTTGTGCTCCAGCCCCGCCACCGCCGCCCGCCAGCGATCGACCCCCCGCCCGTACGCGTGCTTCGTCGCGAACAAAGAGTGGAAAATTTCCGAGTCAGCTGAAAGCGAAATCCCTTGGGCGTTTATCGGGCCGGGAACACAGAGTTTCTAGCGGCCCACCTTCCCCCAACCGGATCGGCTTCGTCCCCCCACTTGGATGGGTGTGATTCGTCGTAGTATGCAAGAGAACTGCGTCAACAAGGACTGTCTGGGTCTCCGCAAACGTGTCTGTGGTCTGCACCAAACCTGGAAGTGGCTGCACCAGACGCCTGCCCTGCACGAATACCTCATCTCGAACAGCTCCGTGGCTGCAAACACACCGCGCAGCAGCGAGCCCACAGTCTAAAGTCCACACAAAGACCGACCAAAGCCATCTAAAACCAAAACGAATACAGCATAACGTAGAAGATAAGTAGACCCCACACAATACATAACCTAAAGACGAGCGCACAGACAGCAAGAACATCATCAGCTGGCCATAAACCCGTCCCGTCAAGAGCTTTTACCGAACGACACACCGTTGACCTTGTTTCGCTTGCAAGTGCATTGCGCCGCTCTCGTCGTCGTCGCAGCTCACCAGCACCTGGCAACAGACACAACGCACACACCTTTACTTCCTTGTGAGAGTAATCCAAGATGAGCGTGCTCTTGCGACGCAATTCCAGCCAGCTGCGGCTGCTGCTCTCATCCGGTGGGCAGGTCACGCGCCTCGCCTCCACTGAGGGCAGTGGAGAGCCACCAGCACCGGCTGTTGTCAATCAGGAGACAAAGAAGGCCCAGAAGAAGCGTCAGCCGCTAGCCGTGGTGCCTGATTCCGAGATCAAGAAATCTGTGTTCATCTCACAGTCCAGCGATGTCTTCACCAACTTGGCTCTGGAGGATTGGCTGTACAAGAACTTTGACTTTAGCCACCATCATGTCCTACTGCTGTGGGCCAACGATCCGTGCGTAGTAATCGGCCGACACCAAAACCCCTTCACGGAGGCCAATGTCTCCCGTTTGGTGGAGCGCGGCATTACGCTGGCCCGACGTAACAGTGGCGGCGGAGCAGTGTACCACGATCTGGGAAATCTCAATTGCACTTTCTTCTCGCCGAGGGAGCGATACGATCGCAAGTACAACCTGAACATCGTGACCAGGGCCTTGTTTCGTGAGTGGGCCATCAAGGCGGAGATCAATGAGCGCGACGACATTGTTGTGATGAACAAGAAGGTGAGCAGGAGGGACAGAAGGAAAGTGCGATTGACTGGCTGTTATCAGTAAGGGATCAGGCGACCTCTTGCTGGCGTCAGTCCACTTAAATAGCAGCTGGGCGTTGCGCATCTGGTCTTTGTTTGATCGGCGACTTAACCGAGTTTCGCCCTTGGTCTTATTTACAGATTTCCGGAACCGCCGCCAAGTTGGGGCAACCGAACTCGTACCACCACTGCACCATCCTGGCCAGCGCCAACAAGCTCCATTTGGGTGAGTCTCTGGTGCGGGAGAAAGCCAACTATATCAGTCGCGCCACTGCTTCGGTGCCGTCGCCCATTCGCAATCTGGTAGATGTCAACCGCACGGTGAATGTGTCGCAGCTGCGCTCCGCCGTAGGCTACGAATATCTGAGGACGGCAGCTACCACACTGGAGGATGGCGGCAGTGCTCAGACGATGAAGCAGCGCGGTTTTCAGCTCATCAATCCCACCGAGAAATGGTTCCCCGGCATCGATGAGCTGCGCGCCAACTATAGCTCCTGGGACTGGGTCATCGGCAAGACGCCCAGCTTCACGGTGGAGAAGGACCTCGAGGTGAAGGGACATGACGAGGACATGAAACTGAAACTGAGCGTAGAAGTGGAGGGCGTAAGTTTATATGCATTAGTTTACCTGAATCATTTAATCAAATGTCTTGACTTCTAGGGACTGATGAAGGAGATCGGGTTGCAGTTGCCTCAGAGCGAGCAACTCGTTCCGGTCGTGACTCCTCTCCAGGGCAAGCCATACAACGAGGAGAACCTGAACGGAATCCTGGGCGCCTTGAAGCTCGTCAACGCTTCGAATGTGAAGCAGGCCATAAATGGCACAGCTTGATTTTTACTGTTGTGTTAGCTCGAAGAAAAGCTAAAAAAAAAGGAAGAAGAAAATCAATATCCTTTATGTAGTTTCGCTAACATAGACGTAGTCCTTCCTTCCAAGAAATCATATTACTAATATAGTATTTAAGCGTATTACACAAAAAACAATATATACTTTTGTTATCCCGTTTTGTATAAAAAGAACTGCAATAAAATGTTTAGACATTTCAAACTTTTAGAAATATTATCGGGGCGGTGGTCGTTTAAAAAGAGTTCGATTTTTATTTCGATTAACCAATAATAAAAACAAAACGTATTTGTAAACATGAATACAAAGTTAAATCGATTTAAGGCACACTTGTTCGCTATCCTTTGACACAAATAGTTATATATATAAATAGATTACAGACTATAAATATGAATGGAGGGACTCGCTGAATACTAGGACACGGGGGATAGATAACAAGTGTGATCTGCGAGTCCCTTTAATACGACACAAATCGGAATAAAATAGAAGCATCCTAAAAATGACAATTGCACTCGGGAAACGGACAAGGGACAAGGTAAGCGGCCTTTCAGCCTAAATGTGAACCGTTTGCACCAGTTCCGGCAGGTTCTGGTAGTCTGGATCGCGGGCAAAGAACTCCATGAGATAGGCAAAGGTGGGCCGGTCTTTCGGCCGTTCCTTCCAGCAGCTCTGCATCACTGCATATATGTACGCTGGGCAGAGGCTGGGCTGCGGCAATCGTTCTCCACTGTCCACAAGCTTGATGGCATCCACATTGGATATATCGCCATAGGGCGGAGCTCCCAGCGCAAACATTTCCCAAATGGTCACGCCAAACGACCACACATCGCTGGCATGCGAAAAGATGCCCAGGTTGAAGCTCTCCGGGGCATACCAGCGGATGGGCCAGCGGCCGCCTTGGGTGAATTGGTACTCGGTGCTGCCGGGCCTCAACGATCGCGACATTCCAAAGTCACTGATCTTGGCCTGCTGCCGGGCGGTAAGCAGTATGTTCCTGGCGGCAAGATCTCGGTGCACAAAATGCTGAGATTCCAAATAGTGCATGCCTGGGGGCAAGGGTTTTAATCATTAATACATCTCCAGTTACACTAACTTTACTGTACACCTACCACAAGCGACCTGGGATGCCCAGACCTTTAGTTCCGAATTGGCGGTAATCTCGCCACCGTGATCCAGGATATACTGCAGCATGGAACCCAGCGGAGCCAGCTCTTGAACCATCATCAGCATCTCTCCCTTGGAGATGCCGATTAGACGCACAATGCATTTGTGCTCCAGCCGCATCATCACGGAGGCTTCGCGCAGGAACTCCTGTTTGTTGCTGTGCTCATCGCTGAGCATCTTTATGGCCACCTCCACACGTGTTGTTTCCTCACCAGAAGCGCCCTTCCTCACTAGCCAACCGCTGTGCACGGAACCAAACTCGCCGTGACCAATTTCGCTCTCCAATACCAAATTCTCTGGTTCTATAAAGAACCTCAGCTTGGCCGCCTCCAAGGCACTGGAGGTGGGCGTTGTTGGGGTTCCACTACACTTCCGCTGCAGATAGCTGGCCATCTCACTCTCCGTGGAGCCTGTTGAAATGAGCGAGTTGAGACGCGCTGCAGCTGGGGGCTTGATCATTTGCTGATCCCACACCGAGAGCACGTCGACTGTGGGCTGATATCCATTGAAGCCACTCTGGACAGCACGCTCACGCTCAATGGCGACGTCACTCTTGGTGAAATACTCAACTTCGGCTTCAGTCTTTTGGGCAATGGGCGGCGGCAGGTCCATATCGATGGGTGTATTGTTCCTGGGAACGTTGTATAACTCCCCGCTGGCCGGGGCCACCACGATGCCGCCATCAACATTGAAAGTGGAGAACTCCGTCGAAAATGATAAGCTTTTTAGCATGGGAGCGGCTGCCTGCAGTTCCTGCTCCGTCCTGGCCAGCGATCCACTCACACTGCTCTCGGACTCGCTACGCTTGCCCTTGGACTTGCTCTTGCGTAGGCTGTTCATGTCGAAGAGCGCCTTCTTGGGACTGGTCAGGCGCAGGGTGTTGAACATGGAGCTGCTGTTCTCCTTCTGCTTCTTTTTCGCTATGGTCAAGGCGGGGACATGCGGATGGCCATGATGGGGGGAATGGGAGTGCGGAGACACAGGAGTGGGTGGCGTAGCTGGCGGAGTGGTTCTCGGCTTCACAGAGGATCGTGGTATTGTTGCAAACGAGGGCAACTCCGGCTTTGGCTGCGGTGGAACAGGGAACTTAAGGCTAACGGGCAATCCATAGGAGAACCGCATGAAGTGCGATATCAAATGCTCTAGACTGGGCCAATAGGGACCATCATCTATATACAGAAACTTGGACTGTCAAAGAAATAATGTACATTAGTTTTCATCTATGTTTCTCCACCTCTATTACTCACCCCTCCGGACTGCAACTTGACGCCGTTCTGGTAGAGATCTGCCTGCGAGATACGAAAGTTCTTGACCATTTGGTCGCTGCTGAGCAGGGTTAGAACCAAGCCAGAAGCCGCCGGCGATTCTGAGTAGCGAACCAGAAAGCATCCAGAGGTGTCCAATTCGGGTTGGCTCACTAGCAGCTCCTTGACATGTTTCTTGAGTATGGCAACGGCCTCGTCTCGGGTCAGTGTGCCGTGATACCACTGCTCTCTGGCGGTACTTGCCTGCGGAAGCTTATAGTTCATTAGGAACTCCTCTACAGACGTTTGGCCCGCCTCCTTGGCCAGATCGAAGGGAAATTCTCCCGAGCTAGTTCTCGGTAACGGCGGAGCTTCGGCTAGTAGGAGTTCCTGCACAGCCTCCAGGTTACCGTGCTTGGCTGCTTCGTGCAATGGCACATAGCCGTTCTCTATATTCCTCCCCTGAACATTGGCCTGTGCGGCGATAAGGGTTCTTATAAAGCTGGCTGGTTTCGAGCGGGCTGCGTACTAAGGCGGGGGATAAGATTATAACAAACATTCGCATTTACAGAAGAGGATGACTCACGTGCAGGGGCTGACAGCCGAAGGAGTCCGAGCTGTTGACCTGGACTTTTGCATTGAGCAGGTGCTTCAGGATGTCCTCGTCCGAGTATAGCGCCGCCAGATGCAGCGCCGTCTGGCCATCCTGGTTCTTGGCATCAAAGTTTCGATAGCCGCACTTGAGCAGCTCGAAGACCACCTTGCTCTCGTTCTTGGCGGTGGCGCGGTGCAGCAGATTGGTCACTCCATGGCTGCGGGTGTTGTGAGGTGGCGGATCGCGGATCAAAGGTACCGTCAACTTGGTGGGCAGCCCATTGGCCGCCTGCTGGTAGTAGTCGACCAGCGTGTCCAGGCCGTGCAGTATCTTTGTCTGCACCTTGTCGTCGATGGAGAAGAAGGCGTCCTCGCCGCCATGTCGCCTCACCTGGTAGTGGCACACCTCCTCCTGACACAGTAGGCTCAGCACAAAGTCTCCAGCTGCCGTGCTGCTCTCTCGGACCAGGAACGTTCCGTCCTCATAACCTGTTGATTATTGCCACAATCAATTACAATTCATTAGGCTTCGTTCCCTCCACCACGCCCACATATCCCTCCGCCAAGGAAACGGCGCCTTGTCCCAGCACTTGCCTTGCTTGAGTAGATCGTCGGCTGCCTCTCGCGACAGGCTGCCGTGGTACCACTTCATGGGATCGCTCATATTTGGTCCATTTGCTCTAAATTCTCGACTTTTGTTAATTTCGAGATCACTTTGGGTTTACTTTGCATGCAGTGTGACCGTCCGCTGATGTGGCACCGATCATCGCCAGATGGGCAGTCCCAGGGCTGCATAGCGCAGCGCTTGGGCTTTATAACTGTCGATCTGCGGCGGGTTTTTGAAAATGTTTTTATAGTAGACCTCTTGACAGGATAACAATTTGACTAGAAGGTTGCAATACAGTCAAGGAGTCATTTCCGACCCTATAAATAGAACTATGAATAGTAATTAACTATGAGCAGTTATTAACTATGATCAGTAAGTATTAATGACCAGTAATTATATTTGATCAGTAAGTATCTATGACCAGTAAGTATGTATGATCAGTTACTAATTTTGAACACTAATAAACAATGACTTGCAACTTTTGTAACAACACATTTCTGGTACTTGGCCGGCAGCAGTCACTTCGTTCCGGGGATGTTAGAACAAGTTGGGAATCATAATTACAGATGTGCGAGACTTGTTTTGGACCAAATTTAAGAGCAAGCTATTTGAATGAAACTATGAAATTGATCTTCTATATACTTTTAGAAGTTTATAAATCGGAGTATGCCAAATCGGTGGACTATATATATAAATATATATACAGCTGACATAGGAACAATCGGTCGATTTATAGAACTATGATCAGTAATTAACTTTGACCTGTAATTAACTATGATCAATAAGTCTCTATGAACATTAAGTAACTATGAGCAGTAAGTATCTATAACCAGTAGTTATCCATGACAAGTAAGTATGTATGATCAGTTACTAACTTTGAACACTAATAAACAATGACTTGCAACTTTTGTAACACAACACATTTCTGGTACTTGGCCGGCAGCAGTCACTTCGTTCCGGGGATGTTAGAACAAGTTGGGAATCATAATTACAGATGTGCGAGACTTGTTTTGGACCAAATTTAAGAGCAAGCTATTTGAATGAAACTATGAAGTTGATCTTCTATATACTTTTACAAGTCTATAAATCGGAGCATGCCAAATCGGTGGACTATATATATAGTTCACATAGGAACAATCGGATGATTTATAAACCTATGATCAGTAATTAACTATGACCAGTAATTAACTATGATCAATAAACTTCTATAAACACTAAGTAACTATGAGCAGTAAGTAACTCTGCACAGTAAGTATCTATGACCAGTAATTATCTTTGACCAGTAAGTATCTATGACCAGTAAGTATGTATGATCAGTTACTAACTTTGAACACTAATAAACAATGACTTGCAACTTTTGTAACACAACACATTTCTGGTACTTGACCGGCAGCAGTCACTTCGTTCCGGGGATGTTAGAACAAGTTGGGAATCATAATTACAGATGTGCGAGACTTGTTTTGGACCAAATTTAAGAGCAAGCTATTTGAGAGAAACTATGAAGTTGATCTTCTATATACTTTTACAAGTTTATAAATCGGAGCATGGCAAATCGGTGGACTATATATATACATATATATAGCTGACATAGGAACAATCGGACGATTTATAGAACTGTGATCAAAAATAACTATGACCAGTAATTAACTATGATCAGTAAACTTCTATGAACACTAAGTAACTATGAGCAGTAAGTAGCTCTGCACAGTAAGTATCTATGACCAGTAATTATCTTTGACCAGTAAGTAACTCTGATCAGTAAGTATCTATGACCAGTAAATATCTTTGACCAGTAATTATCTTTGACCAGTAAGTAACTCTGAACAGTAAGTATCTATGACCAGTAATTATCTTTGATCAGTAAATATCTATGAGCAGTAAGTATGTATGATCAGTTACTAACTTTGAACACTAATAAACAATGACTTGCAACTTTGTAACACAACACATTTCTGGTACTTGGCCGGCAGCAGTCACTTCGTTCCGGGGATGTTAGAACAAGTTGGGAATCATAATTACAGATGTGCGAGACTTGTTTTGGACCAAATTTAAGAGCAAGCTATTTGAATGAAACTATGAAGTTGATCTTCTATATACTTTTACAAGTTTATAAATCGGAGCATGGCAAATCGGTGGACTATATATATACATATATATAGCTGACATAGGAACAATCGGACGATTTATAGAACTATGATCAAAAAATAACTATGACCAGTAATTAACTATGATCAGTAAACTTCTATAAACACTAAGTAACTATGAGCAGTAAGTAGCTCTGCACAGTAAGTATCTATGACCAGTAATTATCTTTGACCAGTAAGTAACTCTGATCAGTAAGTATCTATGACCAGTAAATATCTTGACCAGTAAGTAACTCTGATCAGTACGTATCTATGACCAGTAATTATCTTTGATCAGTAAGTAACTCTGAACAGTAAGTATCTATGACCAGTAATTATCTTTGATCAGTAAATATCTATGAGCAGTAAGTATGTATGATCAGTTACTAACTTTGAACACTAATAAACAATGACTTGCAACTTTTGTAACACAACACATTTCTGGTACTTGGCCGGCAGCAGTCACTTCGTTCCGGGGATGTTAGAACAAGTTGGGAATCATAATTACAGATGTGCGAGACTTGTTTTGGACCAAATTTAAGAGCAAGCTATTTGAATGAAACTATGAAGTTGATCTTCTATATACTTTTACAAGTTTATAAATCGGAGCATGGCAAATCGGTGGACTATATATATACATATATATAGCTGACATAGGAACAATCGGACGATTTATAGAACTATGATCAAAAATAACTATGACCTGTAATTAACTATGATCAGTAAACTTCTATGAACACTAAGTAACTATGAGCAGTAAGTAGCTCTGCACAGTAAGTATCTATGACCAGTAATTATCTTTGACCAGTAAGTAACTCTGATCAGTAAGTATCTATGACCAGTAAATATCTTTGACCAGTAAGTAACTCTGATCAGTAAGTATCTATGACCAGTAATTATATTTGATCAGTAAATATCTATGACCAGTAAGTATGTATGATCAGTTACTAACTTTGAACACTAATAAACAATGACTTGCAACTTTTGTAACACAACACATTTCTGGTACTTGGCCGGCAGCAGTCACTTCGTTCCGGGGATGTTAGAACAAGTTGGGAATCATAATTACAGATGTGCGAGACTTGTTTTGGACCAAATTTAAGAGCAAGCTATTTGAATGAAACTATGAAGTTGATCTTCTATATACTTTTACAAGTTTATAAATCGGAGCATGGCAAATCGGTGGACTATATATATACATATATATAGCTGACATAGGAACAATCGGACGATTTATAGAACTATGATCAAAAAATAACTATGACCTGTAATTAACTATGATCAGTAAACTTCTATGAACACTAAGTAACTATGAGCAGTAAGTAGCTCTGCACAGTAAGTATCTATGACCAGTAATTATCTTTGACCAGTAAGTAACTCTGATCAGTAAGTATCTATGACCAGTAAATATCTTTGACCAGTAAGTAACTCTGATCAGTAAGTATCTATGACCAGTAATTATATTTGATCAGTAAATATCTATGACCAGTAAGTATGTATGATCAGTTACTAACTTTGAACACTAATAAACAATGACTTGCAACTTTTGTAACACAACACATTTCTGGTACTTGGCCGGCAGCAGTCACTTCGTTCCGGGGATGTTAGAACAAGTTGGGAATCATAATTACAGATGTGCGAGACTTGTTTTGGACCAAATTTAAGAGCAAGCTATTTGAATGAAACTATGAAGTTGATCTTCTATATACTTTTACAAGTTTATAAATCGGAGCATGGCAAATCGGTGGACTATATATATACATATATATAGCTGACATAGGAACAATCGGACGATTTATAGAACTATGATCAAAAAATAACTATGACCAGTAATTAACTATGATCAGTAAACTTCTATAAACACTAAGTAACTATGAGCAGTAAGTAGCTCTGCACAGTAAGTATCTATGACCAGTAATTATCTTTGACCAGTAAGTAACTCTGATCAGTAAGTATCTATGACCAGTAAATATCTTTGACCAGTAAGTAACTCTGATCAGTACGTATCTATGACCAGTAATTATCTTTGATCAGTAAGTAACTCTGAACAGTAAGTATCTATGACCAGTAATTATCTTTGATCAGTAAATATCTATGAGCAGTAAGTATGCTTGATCAGTTACTAACTTTGAACACTAATAAACAATGACTTGCAACTTTTGTAACACAACACATTTCTGGTACTTGGCCGGCAGCAGTCACTTCGTTCCGGGGATGTTAGAACAAGTTGGGAATCATAATTACAGATGTGCGAGACTTGTTTTGGACCAAATTTAAGAGCAAGCTATTTGAATGAAACTATGAAGTTGATCTTCTATATACTTTTACAAGTTTATAAATCGGAGCATGGCAAATCGGTGGACTATATATATACATATATATAGCTGACATAGGAACAATCGGACGATTTATAGAACTATGATCAAAAAATAACTATGACCTGTAATTAACTATGATCAGTAAACTTCTATGAACACTAAGTAACTATGAGCAGTAAGTAGCTCTGCACAGTAAGTATCTATGACCAGTAATTATCTTTGACCAGTAAGTAACTCTGATCAGTAAGTATCTATGACCAGTAAATATCTTTGACCAGTAAGTAACTCTGATCAGTAAGTATCTATGACCAGTAATTATATTTGATCAGTAAATATCTATGACCAGTAAGTATGTATGATCAGTTACTAACTTTGAACACTAATAAACAATGACTTGCAACTTTTGTAACACAACACATTTCTGGTACTTGGCCGGCAGCAGTCACTTCGTTCCGGGGATGTTAGAACAAGTTGGGAATCATAATTACAGATGTGCGAGACTTGTTTTGGACCAAATTTAAGAGCAAGCTATTTGAATGAAACTATGAAGTTGATCTTCTATATACTTTTACAAGTTTATAAATCGGAGCATGGCAAATCGGTGGACTATATATATACATATATATAGCTGACATAGGAACAATCGGACGATTTATAGAACTATGATCAAAAAATAACTATGACCTGTAATTAACTA